TTCGTTTGGCTCGAGAGAATCCTCCTACAAAGTCCTACACAGTCCCAAGAGGAAAGGAAAAGGAATAATCAACCTCACAAGAACACTTTACACAGAGTCGAACCCAATTCCTATCGATACCGAAAACGCCGGAGCATTTGTGACTCACAACCGGGTCTTCCTTTTTTTTTCTTCTTCCTTTCCGTTTTTTAGTTTTTAGTTTTTTTTTAATTTTTGTGAATCCGCTTCCTTTGCTTTCCCCTGGCAAACCTTGGGTTGAGGAAAGCTGTCTTTCGCCTCTCCAGCGAGCTTGTTCCAAGAGTTGCTCGTGGCAGCGGGAGAAGGGTGACTGTCAAACTATCTTTTGCCACCCGTCTTGAACTTCTTGCGACTCCCTCCCTCCGACCGAGCGTTGTTTTGACTTGCCTCCAGCTTCCTGCCTGCCTCTCTCGAGTGCTGCTGCCTGCATCATCTGTCCCGCTCAATTCCCATCAGCCTCTCCCAAACCCCCCCCTGATCAGTTATCATTGTTCGTTGACTCCAGCTCCACCAAGTGGTCTCTCCAAGGGGATCTTCTGAGAAACTTGGAGCTCCGATTGAAGAAGAAAACTTTCCTCCCAAGCATCGGCTCACAAACAAGCGAGCCCTCCTCGTCAGCATACCTCGAAAACCAAACAACATACGATTATTCTCATTCGCCCCGAATCACAACATCCTACTACACCTACCTACCTCAGCCGATCCATCCATTCTCTCTGCTTGTTCACAGTAATCACATCGCTTGGCTTCACCTTCTCGATCTCTGTTTAGGCGCCTCATCATCAGATTTTTCTTGCTCTGTTTTCTTGTCGGACTCTGTTTGCCTGCTTGGAAGATTCATAAGATCATAAACAATCAACATCCTGCCATGTAAGTTGTTTTGCTTTCCCTCCCCTGGGTATATGTGTATCCCAAATGACTCTTGATGACTCACAGAGCGGTTTGCATTATCACTCTTTTGCTCCTTTCTTACTCTCTTGTTGACCGCCCCCCTCCAGCTCTCCACTGATTGCCATCCTGACATCCATCCAACCCTTGCGTCGACTCAAGAGGGGAGCTCGCAGGACAGTCCATCATCAGTCTCATACAGTCTAACTGTACATATCTTCTGTGGTCTAAAACGTCTACAGCCGAGACTACGTAGATCGAGCCAAGCTTGGTGCTTTTTATTACCCTCGAAGGGCTATCGACAAACTTGGTTAGTCGAATCATCTTCAAGAGTCTTTTTGAAGTCTGTTGGTTGTTTCTTGATGCCCAGTTGGATATTGATGACTTGATTACAATGTGCCCTTAGAATTCAATTTTCCTTTCTCTTATAGCAGACTACATAAATATCTATTTATTTTTATTTTATTTTTTATATTTATTTCGATAGTTGAGATGAGCCCGACCACTTCTCAATCATCCGCGCACCACGTCCTCTCTCCCAGTTCGGCCAGCCGTTCCTCCTTCTCACATAATAACCCCTTTCGTCCCCGTCGGTCCACCTCTGCAGCCTCCCTCCAGCGACCCTTCCAATCCGCCTCCGGACCACCCTCACACCCTCCGGCTCACAGTAACCCTGCTCCCGCCATCAAACGGCTCGGCAGCAAGCTATTCCATCGGAGACCCTCCCTCTCCCTCTCCTCCTCCTCAACCGGCCAACTCACCACTGCAACCTCACTCTCACCACCCACCTCAGAACGACCGCTATCCTCACAACCCGATTCAAACCCACACGCCCGCCAGCCCAACTATCCACAATTGATATCGCGTCAGCCTAACAACAATCAATCCCACGAGTCATGCCATTCAACTGGACACTCGGCCCGTCGCTCTAGCATAAGCCTTCGCTCCTCCATCCTCGGAATTACCAATCTATCCACAAAGTCGCTCTCATCACTCTCCAGGATCGGTAACCTCAATAGGTCTAACAAGCATTCGAGCTCTGCGATGGACGACGATCAGGAATACTATCAAACCCTCTCCCAACCATCCACCCCGAGCATGAAGGGGCAGTATATCTCACAAGCCGCTTCCAACCTCATCCAAACACCCGCCACTCCAGTTACTCCACTCGAGAAACCTGAGTTTCAGACTGAATACGCACGCCAACTCTTCCGGGGTACTACCGATCATCGCAGCTATCATACGCACGAGGATGAGGATGAGGAACTGGCAGCCGCTTCATCTGGCTCTGATTTCGAAGCGGAGCATCGCCGTCACGGACTGACCTCTGGTACTGTTGCTTCCCGTGGCTCTACCAGCTCACTCAGTCGCGCCAATAATGCCAACACAAACCTCACAGATGGCTCTCATGAATGCACCTCCGAACATTCTCATCAATCCCCACATCTCGCTCCTCGACAGATGCTCCCCAAGTCGCGTTCTTCCGTCCTCTTTGCACATCCCCGTCCCAACTCTCCCACATACCAACCCTACCCAAGCTCCTCTCATACCCCGGCCGTCAGCTCTGTTCTCAACTCTCGCGCCCCTCGTCCCAACTCCAACTTTCGCTCCAGTGTTCGGCGGAAGGGTACGCCATGATGATTTTATTTTCACTCGTGCTGTAATTGCTGTTTGCTGATTCAGATACCTATATTATGGTTTCACAGTTGACGGCCTAAAGGTTGGGATAACTAAATTGAGACCCTCACGGATTCCGGTCGATGAAGCCAATTGCTTGGCATCTGAAGAAGCCTCGAGTACCTCTGGAAAAGATTATATGAACTCAATAGGCTCGAACGAGACAGCCAGATCTCAACGCGCACTCTCCATCGCGTCTTACCGAGCGGGAAACGCCGTCAAGGATCCTTCATCCCAAGTTTCACCTGGCAGCAGCAATCCTTCGATGCCAAGCTTGCCGGTCCGTAGTCCTGCAGGAGATACCCCCGGTCTTGATGGTCTCCATCAACCAACGTCCGCCACCCGCAGCTCTCAGTCCTCTGCCCTCAACAGTCAGAACGCACATCCGAGATCTATGAGCAGACACAGTCAGCATCAATCTGGTTCAATAGGTACGAGAGAAAACGAAGCTGTTGTGTCAGGGCGACCGGGATCGATCAATGGCTCGATTCACTCCCAAATATGCCCACCTGGCTCCCAGCGTTTACGACCTGGACGAGTGCCCTTCCAGTCTCTTGACTTACCATCCGACTCTTACTGTCAAATCACATCACCAACACAACCTGGAAGTCAGCCTCCTTCACGTTCAAGTCACTGCCCCAGTGGGTCACTCGACGTGAAGAAAAGCCCAATCGAAGCGCTTAACGCTGCGGACCCAGAGCCTACTCTAGAGGTTGGGCCGAACCCAGAGGGTGGTCCGCCGGCCCCACCACCCAGCAGCTTTGCCCGCCGGCGTTCTCCCATCATTCACGAATCTTCCAATGATCTTCGTCGTCAGATTGCTCGTGAGGTCAACGGCCAAGGGCCATTTGTAGCGCAACGCGCATACTCCGATACCCGACTGCCTCAATCCTCCGTCACCCCATCAACTTCACGTGCCATCGCTGGAGGCACGTTCAATCAATCGCGAAATTCGATTCACCGGCAGCTTAGTGTGCGTGAACCCGACCTCAAGTCAACATCAACATCCAATCAGCACCCACATCAGAGCGCCTCCTCATACCACCAGCAGCAACAGCATTATCTCCAGCCCCAGAATCTTCATTCCAATCAGAAAACTCCACAGTGGCCCCATAATCATCTTTACTCGTCAGCTCAACCGGCTAACGGCCATCAACAGGACTATCTGCATCCTGGAATTCCTGCAACGCCCTGCAACAATTCTCAGCAGCCAGCTCATAGATACGAGACCCCTAGTCTCAATCACCAATGTTCATTATCTGCCCTGAGTACCGCTGTCCCGCAACGACAACGACAAGAGCGCCGGCCACCGCCACCTGTCCATTCACCGTCACAGGATGAGGATGGTGACAGCGACGATGATGACGACGACGATCAAATTGTTTGCCAACCCCGCCCGGCATCCCGGACCCATAGTCAGCTCCCAGCGAGTGAGAAGAGATTCTACGTGCACGAGGACCAGGATGGATATAATAATAATAATAATAATAATAATAACAATCATCACCATCATCAACGCCAAGTGCCTCTCAATGACGAACGAAACTGGCAAACACGGAAGCCCGTTGGGCACAACCGGATCGATAGAAACCTGATTATTGTCAACGGGATTGAGTATTCTCGACAGTGCGTGATCGGTCGTGGTGGAAGCTCGAAAGTCTTCCGGGCCGGGATGACAGACGGGAGTCCGAAGATGGTGGCCATCAAGGTGGTCGGGCTGAAGCAGGCCGATGAACAGACCTACCAGACCTTTTGTAATGAAATCGCGCTCCTCGAGCGGCTTAAAGGTCATGATCGGATCATCAATCTCATCGACTCCTCGATGGATAATCTCCAGCGTAAGGTCTGGTTGGTCATGGAGCTGGGTGAGACAGATTTGAATCAACTGCTTAATCGCCAGATGGGAAAGCCCATCAGTTTCCGGTTCATCAAGCACATATGGGAACAGGTTGAGTTGATTTTTTTTTTGACATTGCGATTTTTCTGTTTATCTTAACTGATCAATTCCCTTCCCCTTGCTTGGCATCAGATGCTTGAGGCGGTCCAAGCTGTTCATAATCAGGACATTATTCATACAGATTTGAAGCCAGCGAATTTCGTTCTAGTTCAAGGATCTGTGAAGATTATTGATTTCGGGATTGCCAAGGCTGTACCTGCGGACACGGCGAATATCAGTCGAGAGACGCAGATCGGCACGGCAAACTACATGTCGCCGGAAGCGTTGATGATGCAACAGTCATCGCATGGCGACCATCAAACGGTCAAGATGGGTAGGCCGACAGATGTGTGGGCCTTGGGATGTATCCTCTACCAGATGATCTACGGCCACACCCCGTTCTCAAAATTAGATACCACTCTCAAGGTCCACACCATCCGAGACCCTGGTCATAAAATCGAATATCCCGAGTCGGTCGTCCCCATGAGGATCAATTCTGAGGGTAAAAAGGTCGCCGTGGAAGAGTATCAAGTGACCGTTGAGAGGGCAGCTATCAATACCATTAAGGCTTGCTTGACTTATCATAAGGATCTCAGACCGACCATACCCGAGCTATTGAAGGATGAATTCTTGTTGGGTTCATTGGCTGCTACTCCACCCTCGAAAATCAACCCGGATGGAGCAAGTGAGTTCATTTATTTCTTAATGTTAGAAGCGGGGCAAGGCGTATATATTGACTAGCACAACCATCATCATCATCATCATCATCATCATTTTCTTTGTTGATTTTCCAGTGACCCTCCGACCGGGGATGTTTGAGTTAGTGATCCAAAAGTCCTGGGATTGGTATGCTCGAAAGACGGCCAACGGGGGCCGACTGACGGAGAACCAGAAAAAGAAATTCCTACACGTCAGTGCACCCGCGTTTATCTCCTCCGACGGTCGCGACGACGCTGACTCGAGTGCCGGCTCGTCCAGTCCTTGAAAATGTCGGTCAAGTGTAGCCAGTAGTCTTCCACTCGCTCTCCAGCCCTCTATGACCTCCTTCCGGCCAATCGTCCTGCCGTCACTTCCAACCTCTCTTAACCTTCTCTTCTTCTCTCTCGTCTCCTCCTCCTCCGAGACCCGGCTTTCTTCTAGACTAGTCATCGTGCCCACCGGAACCCATGCTTTATTAACTTCCCAAACTCCTCTACATCTCTTCTTTTTTTTTTCTTGAACAAATCAAAACAAAAGTATACTTAACCTGGAAGCAAGAGAGGCTTCTTCGACTTATATCATTGCAGACAAGATCTCCCCTCGATCCTCCCCTCCCCCCCCCTTTTTTTTTCCGATCCTGAACAATTTTTTTTACTGATCTATTTTTTTTTGTTAACCGTCCAAGAAAAAAACCAACCAACAATCATCACACTACAACAAGAAAAAAAAACATAATAACTTACAGTACATAAGAGTCCTTACTATGTATATACGCTGTTCTTGTCTCCTGTCCTCTTTAATCCATTGGTTGTCTTTCTCATTCACTTGGATAATAATCCATTCCCAGCACATCTTTTTTTTCCCCAGTTATCTTTACCCACCTTTAGCTTACTGTTTTTTTCTTTTGTTTTGCGGTGTGTGTGTTTATGGTTTATGGTCTTGTTTGAGTCTGTTTTCTTTTTCTCTCTTTCTTTCTCTTTTCCAATCGATTTCTGACGTTGGTCACTCGTTACATCGGTCGATTGTATTCTCTCTCTCTCTCTCTCTCTTTTGTTTTCCAAAAAAAAAAACCCTTTCACTCATTTTTTTTTCTACTCTTGGATCTTCTTGGTACCATCTTCCTATAACGTGACAGTTCTCACCAAAAAAAACTCCGAGTGTCTTTATTCTCTCTCTCTCTCTCTTTTTTTTGACTGTCTTCTATCTCTCTCTCTCTCTGTCTCTCTGATATCACCGCTATTATTATGATCATTGTTGTTGTTGTATCCGTGACCGATTGTCTCTCTCTGATCCGATTCTCAATATAGTCTCCTTTTTTCACATATTGATCCCCTCAAATCCAGTCTGTTTTTTCTGTTTCTGTCTGTCTATTCTGCATCTCTTTATTACATGCAACTTGAAGCGTTTCTTTCGGTACATGTGCAGGCTTCTTTGAGCTATGGATAGCCACTTTTTCGCTTCATTTGCTGTAGGTTTTGTGCCAGAGAGGGGGGTAGGATGATGATGTGGTGTCTTTGGTCTCTGTCTGAACTCTTGATCAGTCGGGGACATATATGGGCTGGTTCTCGAGCCGGCGTGTAGCCCGGTGCTGGGGCTCCGGCTCTCTATCGTCTCCAGAGTCTTCGACTTGAACCAGCTTCAAGATCAATCTTCCTATCGCTTTTTTGCATTACAAACAGAGGCCAGACTTGATATAGACAGAGCACCACTACGTATTTATTTAAATCGGTCAGATACCTTAGGTCGAGCCATCAATGTTGGGCTTTTGATCAATGTTGGGCTTTTGATCCTCCTCCCCATCCGACGGCCGGCTTCGCTTTGGCTCGGAACTAGTCTGAGGATCACCAACCGCATCGTCGTCGGGCCCGCGCTTCTTACAAGCACATCGACAGTCTTCCTCCTCCTTCTTGACCACCCTCTCTCCCGCTCTCTCTTTCTTGACTGTCTTCGACTGTTCTTTCTCCGGTTCACTATCCGATTCGATTCGAATCTGTTCGGGTGTGTTTTACACATAAATAAAGCACTAGATTTTTTTTCTTTTTCTTTTATTGATGGTAGGAAAGAAAAAAGTGTGGCTTGCCGCGGTGCTTGGATCTCGTCCATTCCTTCGCAGAGCCGGAGGAACAATGGTCCCTTCGGCTATCAAAACCGGGCGCGGCTTGTAATGAAAGATGAACTGATGATTCCCCGCAAAAAAAGAAAAAGAGAGGGAGGAGGATTTAGGATCCCGTGTAATGAATGAGCTAGCGAAATGAATGCAACAAGAAAAGAAATGAAGGATGACTGACGTGAAGAAACGGATTCTCATCTTGCGATTTGATCCGATAAAATTTTCCTCCTTTGGGGCTGGGATCGATGATGGTAGGTTGACTTAAGCCGGCGGTGGCGGACAAGCCGACGATTTTGACGGCTTCCGAGAAGCGCATCTCGTTGGTAGTCTTCGTCCAAGTCGGATCAATGCCAGTGCTCTTTGCTCGGCTCTTCTTTGCCTCTCGAGTAGTAAGCTTACATTTGAAGAACCGAACCTCGATCTTGCCGAGCGCCTTGATGATATTCTCGTCCTGACAAACCTGCAGCTTGGTTGCCAGTTTTTCGCCTCGATCGTCCTCGTCCTCGTCGTCGCCGAGTTGGTCGTCCGGATCCACAAGTTTAAGAGGCGCAAATTCGAATGCCCGTACGCTCGTTTCGTTCTCAACTACTTCTGACATACTCATCGGCCCAAGTTTTCGAGACCGGGGGGAGCAGGACGTTGCGATCTCCAACCCATCCATCCATATTTCCAGGGCGTAGTCGTGCATTCTCAGGGATCTGCAAGTCTTGTTAGATCTGGAATGATTACTGGATTTTTTTGCAAGTAAGTCACTAGCAGTTGGATGGATGTCATAGGAGATTTCGAATCGATGTGATGCTTTGGATTCGATCGTCACGATTTCTTGGTGTGCACCCGTCTTGGGGTCTATCAGAGACTGATGGAGGTACTCGGGACAAGCCGTAGAGGTTGTCGATTTTGTTGGATCAAGCAGCTTGATGGTGCAGCTTGCCGCCGAAATGGCGTTGGTGGGCATGTCGAGAACGAGTTTTGTTTTTTGCTTCTTGAGCCTAGGACAGGAAGGCAGTCGTCTACTACTTAAGTAAATATTTATGTTTGTCCAATAATATGGAGCGTTCCTTCGACTTTTCTTTACATGTTTGTATTGTTTCTTTTCTCTTTGGATTGAATTTGTTGATCATCACCGTTAATATGCAGGCAAGACTCAGCTCAAAAAAAAAAAAGTCAACCTTTGGGTGAGCACACGTGATCGAGAACCAATCTAATGTATACCAACAAATGATGGTTATCATGTTGCTTTGGTGTTTATGGCCCTGTGCAGCCAGGCCAAACATCCCCCGTCTGCGAGCATATATGGACTTCATGTTTAGCCTCTGGCGTGAGTCTGTTGGAGATGCGAGGGATTGCAAGCTGGAGATTCAGGAGTGAGCCGCTGATGTCAAGCCACTTGCTGGGAGCGGAAGGACAAGCTTCAAAGGCGATGTCCCAGAGATCAAAACCCGCTAGAAAATGCTACTGGTATGTATTTGGATGAAGCGAACCCACCCCCGATTATCACAAGAGGACAGCCATTGGGTTAACCGCGAGAAACATTCCAGGATAAACGGGTTTGCTAGGAGGGCTTTTCCAGGACGGGAAGGTGATTGTCGGAACGCTCGATATGAAGTAGAAGTGTCTTGGGTAGCTAACGTTTAGGCGGACAGACTAGGATCGAAGTCGAGAACTTGGCCGCAGAAGGGTTTCGAAACGATCAAGTGTCTCTGATCACCCAGCATCACCAGCACAGATCTGTTCTCTCTTTGTCAAGTCTCAACCAGTAGCGGGGTGGATTGGTCAAAGAATTGTCTAGCTAGTCATTCTACCCTTGCCGGGTTGAGGATTGTTGCGCCCTTGAGCGGTCAACTGGGACAAAGGGACCAACCAGGGAAGAGGGACAAAGAGCAATGGACAATCATTTACATCCAGATCCAAAGGAGCACAACAGAAAGAGGAAGATGCAATGTATGTATACATCAACAATACAAAGAATATTGCAACTCGAGGACTAGTACATTATAGTGTTACAAAGTTAAATCGATGAACATTGGTTTTGATGGTTTGATATCTTGTGTGGTCTGATGAGCTCAGGTTTTCGGTCGGTCTGCGGCGACACCGGACGACGGTTCTGATCGATCTGGCCATTCCGCTCCCCCCCAGTTCCTCGTTTCTTACAATCATCTTTAGGCCCAGATCGACCATTCGATTCCTCTCTTTTGCACCCGGCTTTCTTCTCACGCTTCTCTTTCTTGATTACTCTGCTCTCTTCTTTCTCTGATTCAGGGTCCGATGCAATCGTGATCCGGGTTTCAGTGCCGCTCGATTTCCGGTCAGGCTTCTGTTTCTGTAGGTTGATAATATACGGAAAAATGCGGAAATGATTTGTATTTTCCGCAAACTGAAGGAGCTCATTAAACTGTCACTTACTGTGCTCGTGCTGGCGCCTTCTACCGCAAGTTCTGGCGGTATGATGGGAGGTGGAAGGATTCCTTCGGCAATCAAAACTGAGCGCGGTTTGTACTTAAAGATAAACTGAAAAGAGAAAGCAGAAAGTCAATAGAGAGAGGAGATGAATTAACGGATGACTGACGTGTAAAAATGGATTGGGATCTTGGCACCTGACCCGGTAACTTATTCGATCGTTCTCGCGCTCATAAAAGGTGGGCTGACCTAAGCCGGCGGTGCTTGAAAGCCGGGCTTTCTTGATGGACTCGGAGAACATCATATCGTTGCTCGTTGGCCTCAAACGGATACGCTTGCGGTTCGAGCGTCTTTCCTTCAAGGAGAGCTCACAGCGGGTGATCTTGACTTCGATGGTGCCGAGCGAACGAATGATCTCCTCGTCCTGACAGACTTGCTCAGCAGGTGATTCGACCCCCGTCAGGTCTTGGGGATAGTCGTCGGGATCGACGAGGTGGAGAGGCGCGAATTGGAGTGGACGGGCGGTTATGTTGGATGATGGAAACGCGCTGATTGTGTGTCGACGGGCCGTTTGGGTATGGTGTTGATGATAAGCTCCGATACTAATCCCATCCAAGAAGAAATCGACAACGTAGTCACTCGATTTCAGCGGTTTCCCAGTCGCAGTGGACCTACTAGAGCGGCTTGGTTTAGTTCTCTCCAGTAAGTCATATGCGGTGTGGTGGACTTGGAAGCTGATTTGGAATCGGCTTGATTGCTTAGATTCGATTGTGACGATCTCTTTAAATGCGCCTGTTATGGGGTCTGTGATGGACTGCTGAGAGTACTCTTGGCAAGCTGTTTTGGTCGGTTTTGTTGATGCTGATGATGATGATGGTGTGATGAGTTTGATGGTACAGCGTGCAGCAGAGACTGTGTTAGTGGGCATGCTGATGAGATGGTTTCCGATATCAGGATGGCCAAAGTTTTGTTAATTTTTGTGTTGATCACAAAGGTTGGCAAGATGAGACTACACAGCTGGGACCGGAGCAGGCCAGCCAGAACTGGCGCAGCTTGAAGAAGTGAGCTTCCGATCCGGCGCGTTACCCAATCGGGTATGATATATGTACTAGGCCGGGTGGGGACACGGGTGAAATGGACCCAGCATCCGATAAACCTGCGCATTGATGGCAGAGATTGGGGGGTTTTTATGGGTTTTGAAGTTTTTTTTTTTTTCTTTGGTACAATTTCTTTTGACTGAAAACCAAATAAGCCATTTCGGCTTCTCCCAGACCATTTTGGGAGGTTTCTGCTTGCTTGTCTGATTTCACGGGTCCATTGGGTGCCCTGCGTCGGAGCCAGCTGGGCCAAGTTTGGAGGTCGGGAAGGCTGTGCTTACATAGCAGAGTCAGAGGCCCGGATTGGGACCTTAGTCTGAGGGAGTAATCAAAAGCTGATAGACTTTGTGTTACCAACGACAAGGGGCATCCTTGCGGCAATAATTGCCCAGCTGGAGAAGGAAAAAGCGTATTTTAAATATCTTGATCCAAAGGAATACATACAACAGAGAGAGAGAGAAAGAGAGAAAGATGTGATTACAATAAGCAATACAACAAGGAGTACAATTGGAAATCAAGGACTACACTTATAGTAGTATTACAAAGTTAAATCAATGAGTATCGCAGGTTGCGCCGGTTTGATATCTTGATCGATGCTTAGGCGCCAATTATAAACACTGTTTTGGAAATATTTCCAAAACGTTTTACAAACATTTTGATTTTAAAGATAGTCAGGAATCTGGCAAAAAAGAAAAGCAAAACGGGTCCAAAGGAGCCCATGGACCTCCTTTGGACACGTTTTGAGCTCGATAATTTTTTTTTGTCACAACTACAGGCAAACAGGAGGTGTATTTGACACCCCCATTGAGTGGAACCTCTGTACCATACAGTGGTAGACTAGTACAGCGCACAAAATCTCGACGAGATCAATTTGGAATCAGGTCGGGTGGGTCAGCAACAGGGTCTAGCCGTCTCCCAAGCCAATATTTCTTCTCTCCCCCCCACCCCCCCCCCCCCCCCGCGCGCCTGGTTTTGGTCATTTGTTGTTGTCTTCATTATGGTCAACTTGGGTGAAGATACCAGTGGCTGTGCGGCAAGGCTTTCTGGAGGCAAGTCCAAGCACATTTGATCACCTGTGACTGGTGCGGGGTGCAAATGTTTATAACTGCAACCCCGTTTTGAAATCGTTTTGGAAATGTTTTGGTGCAAGAATCCGCGCTTTCAAAAAGCCAAAACCCTATGCAAAAATGTTTCAAAAATGTTTCAAAAAAATTGCCAAAATGTTGTTTATAATTGGCGCCTTATTAATGGTTCTGATGGGTTGATTATAAGTTTGGTCTGAGTATTAGGATTAGCGGGTTTTTGGTCGGTCTTTGGCGAGACCCGGCGGCGCTTCTTCTGATGATCCATCTCGCCATTCCCCTCTTCCTCCTCCTCCTCGTCTCCTCGCTTCTTGCAATTATCTGATTTACGTCGACGGCCAGATGCTAATTGATTGATTACTTTGTCTTGGTCATTTTTTTCATCAACTGCAGTTTTCTTTTCGAGTTTCTTGTTGATCTTGTCTGCTTTGCTCTCTCTTTTCTCGGACTCTGAGTCGGATGAGTCGATCGTAATCCGGGCTTCAGGCGAGTTCGATCTCCGTTCTAGCGTCTGTTGCTGCATGTAGGTACATAATTATATACAAAGAATCAGCAAAGAAATTTGGTCGTGCGCAAATACAGACAATCTTATAAGATCACATACCCTTTTGTTGGTGCCTTCTCCTGGAAGTTCGGTCGGTGTAATGGGAGACGGAGGAAGGATCCCTTCGGCGATCAGAATCGATCGGGGTTTATAATTAAAGATAAACTGAAAAAGAAAACCAGAAATTCAAAAAAACCAATCAAAGACCATGTGAAGAAAGAGTATAAGAGGAGAAATAACTGACATGCAAAAATGGATTACGATCTTTGGAGTTGACCCGATAACTGACTTTATCCTTCCCGCGCTCATCCAAGGTGGGTAGACCCAAGCCGACGGTACTTGAGAGACGGGCCTTCTTGATAGCCTCGGAGAAATGCATTTGGTTAGTTGTTTGTATTGAAATCTGAATGAAATTGCTAGAAACCAAAACCAGACTGAAGAAAATGAAACAAGTTTTTAGATATAAATAAAAGTGATAAGATGAAGAAAAAGAGAAATAAAAGAAGAAGAGAAAGCATACCGCCAGAGATTGTCACTATCGTAGATAAGTTGAGGACTTTGATAGAGATGTAAGAAGCAGGAGATATTTGAGAAGCAAGACTAATAGAAAAGAAAAATAACAAGGATTAGAAGACAAGTCAAAAAAGAAAAGATTAGTGATTTTCTCATGAAACAAAGACAATGAAAGAACAGGGAATAGAGAGAAGAAGTCAAGGAAAACAACAAACAGCACTGAAGTGAACTTGTTGCTGAATGATAAAGCCGCCTGATGAGATCGTATTGATGTTCTTGAGAGTCAATCTTGAAAGCGGACGGAGTCGGAGAATCAATGAGATCAGAGAGAGAACATGAACAGAGGATCGAGTCAGTTGGACTTTACCGAGTCAGGTCTTGATGATTGATCTTGATGTGAGATTGTGAGTCTTGAGTCTTGATCGAATAGTGAGAGTGAGAAACTTGACGAGTCTAGAGAACAATCAACCGGTACTGGTTGTCTTCTTATGGAGAGGAAGCTGGTTGGTCGCGTGTGTCTGTCTCATCATGCTGCGGCAGGTGTAGGACACTGCAACTCATGGTAGAGGACAACTTGAAAACTCAACAGCCCTCCTTGTTTCATGAGGAAAGAGCTGAGAGACATTGATCTTGCAGTTTTTTGATTGATGAAAGAGGAGCAGCTTTTGTAAGAGAATCAGCGACCATGGCGTTTGATGTAATGAGTTTGACGTCAATTTCCTTCCTCTTGAATTTTTCACGGAGGCTCTTGATCTTGATATCCAGGTGTTTGGTTTTCGAGTTAGAACCGAAGTTTTTAAGTTTCTCCAGCAAACCTTTGTTATCAATAGAGAACAGAGTCGGTGAGAGTTTCTTCTTCCATAGTTCTTCTATAAGAAATTTCAGCCATTGACTTTCCTGTTCGCCATCGGAGAGAGCATTCATCTCTGACTCTGTAGAAGACATGGTGATGTTCTTCTGCTTTTTACTATTCCATAGGATGGGACACGATTTCCAGAAGGCCAATGAGCCACTTTGTGAGATTCGAGTTTCTTGATCCTCTGCCCAAGTGGCATCCGTAAAGAAATTGATTCTGTCAATGAATGCGTCCTTCCTAGGTTTCAAAAGTAAGCCACGATTTTTGGTGCCTTGTAGGTATTTCCAGCAGTGTAACACCTCCTTCCAGTGAGATAGACCCGGTCTTTGATTGAACCTCGATAAAATGGATACCGCGGCTGCGAGATCCGGCCTGGTCCTGCACAACAAGTAATTGAGCATTCCCGTGAATGATCTGTAATTGATGTCAAGCTTTAAAAATGCTTGATGATCTTCTTCTGTAGCGGTATGTAGTTGCACAGCGGGGGTGAGAGGTGTTTTCACCGAGCGGCACTCAACCAGGTCGAGAATTTCGAGTCCTTTTTCTATCAGAGAAGGTTGAGAGAGTTCAATGGAATCTGGAAGGATCTTCAAATTCATGCCCAGCATGGTATCAGGAGGATGAGCAGAGGAGTTTGGAAATCGCTCAAGAAAAAGCCTTTCAAACCTCTCAGTCTGCCCTACGACTATCAAGTCGTCCACGTGAAAGAATATGAATGAATTTTTGTCCTTGTGAATAAAAAGACAAGCATCCGATACGGAAGGATTATATTCAATTTCTTCAAACCAGCCCGTCAGAGTTTCGTACCAGTTCTTTGGTGCTTGTTTGAGACCATACAACGATTTGACTAGCTTGAGATACGGAGCCGTTCTTTTGGACCCTTCAGGAGTCTTGATGTAGATTTCTTCATCGAGAGGAGCAAAAAGAAATGCACTCTTGACATCGAATTGCTTAATAGGAAGATCGAGGTCTAGCGCTAGCACAAGTAAAGTCAACAGTGAAGGGAATTTTCCCGTGGGAGCAAAAGTTTCAAAGAAGTCTTCACCGTATGTTTGGAGAAATCCTTGGATGCACAACCGAGCCTTTTGTTTTTCGGGAGACGACAAGGTAGGCGGTTTGGTTTTAAACACCCAAGTATGATGTAGTAATTTATCAGGCTTCTCTATTTGATCAAGCCATACTTCATGCCGTTCAATGTTGTCCAGTTCTTCATCAATAGCCTTGGTCCATCCTTCAGCTTTTGAGCATGTAACTGCCTTCTTGAAGGATGTTGGATCTTCCGAGTGATGGGAGTATTTTAGAGGTTTGACTTGAAGAGTCCGGTCTCTAAGAATCCGGCCTACTGGTTCATCAGTCTCGGGAATCAGGGAATCGGCTACCATCACGTCATCGTCCGTGTCGGAATCATCATCCAATTCAATGACTTCTTCATCCAATTCTTGCAGTTCTTCCTCGTTGTCTTCTTCTTTGACATCAACTGCTTCGACCTCCTTCTCTTCAATGCCAGCTTTCTCAGAAGGAATTTTGACTTTCTCTTCTACTATCAGCTCGTTGTCTTCGGTCGAAGGTATTTTGGGTGAAGAGAATTCCAAAAAATCAACACTTTTCGAATTGATTATGAGTCCTTCTCCTGTCAGGATCCGATAGGATTTAATCTCTGGATTAAAACCAACAAGAGTCCCCAGCTCTCCACGAGGTTCCAATTTTGACCGCTTCTTGTTCTTTTTGTGAGATGACAGAACGGCTACCGGATTTCCAATGGGGCGAAAGAAAGAGAGAGGGATGGATCGAGACTTGAAAAGCTCGTATGGCGATTTGTTGCTCTTATGTGTAGGGACTTGATTGAGTGTCAGAGTGCACGCACTCAAAATCTCATTCCACAGATTTTTTCTGAGTCCGGAATCCAGAATGATGGTTCTCAAGGATTCCAAAATCGTCCGATTGAACCGTTCCGCCAACCCATTCTGTTGAGGAGTGTAGGCGTCAGAGTATCTTTGCCTGATAACGTGATCTTTGCAGTAACGATCCATGTCAGAATTGACGAATTCGGTTCCCCGATCAGAGTGCAAGACAGAGGGGTAATAACCAAATCGTTTTGCTTCAACGTCAATCAGTCGAGTTAGAGCTGAGAACACGTCACCCTTTGAGACCAGAGGAAGTGCTGATACGAATCTGGTATTGCTATCGACCATTGTGAGAATGTACCGATGTTTCTTGTGTGACAAAGGAGTGATGGGACCGATCACATCCAAGTGAATTTCCTCAAAGGGCTTCGAAGCCGTTGAGCTTCTTGCCTTGAACGTTGCTCTAGTGATTTTGACAACAGCACACGACTTGCAAGCCTCAGGAGCGTTAAGAGGAATTCCAAGCTTATTCCTAATTCGTCTATAGCTGATGTGACCTAGCGACTTATGCAGAAGTTCGGCCGACCTAAGATGGGATTGATGTTGATGAGACTCAAACTTAATGACAGGAATATTACAGTTGTAATTTCCTTCTAGGAGCAACTGATCGTTTTTGTGGACAGTGAAGTGGTTTACGAAGAAATCCAATTTATATTGCTCAAGAAGTAGATGACGAAGTGAAAGGAGGTTGACGGTGATTTTAGGAACAAAAAGGACATTATGAAAGATGATGTTTTTATTATTATAGCTAAGAGAGATAGATCCTTTTCCTTCAATCTTCAGTGTGTTTGGACCGCAACTGGTATTGATCATTCCTTTCTCGGTTTCGTCTAGATGAAGGAACATTCGCTTGTCAGAGACCATATGAGAGGTAGAGCCGGAATCGAGAATGAACATGTTTGGATGGTGAGATGATAATGTAGAAAAACTGATGACGTTCGATCCATAGGTCTTCTTCAAGTACTCTTCCCGCTTCTCAGGGTAAACGAACCAGCAATTCTCCCGCCTATGAGATGTCGCATGAGGGTTATGCACACCCTCCTTGCATCGAGTATCTCCTTTTGTGAACATGGCAGACTCGATCGATTCGCTCTTGTCGCCTTCAGAGACCTTCAATTCATTGAGATGGATCTCAAGATGATCGATTAAGGCTTCAGGATTGATGTCCTCGCCATCTTTCGAGTGAGTGATTTTTTGTTTGATGTTATCAAGACTCTTCGGAAGTCTTCGCAGTAGGTCGTAGGTGAGAATGTCGTCAGGCATGTCGATGCCGACGTCTTCCATCCTTACGATCGTGCTTCTTACGTCGGTGATGAATTTCTCGATATTGCTTGTATCAAAAGTAATGCTAGCGAACGAGTTGTATACCCGAGCACGATTCGATGGTTCATTAGAGATGAATCGCTTCAGAATGCTCTTCCAAAGAAGTTGAGCATTCTCCTCGTTGGTAGAATTGACCACGTTTTTGTGAGTCGTCATCGAAAGCTTAGCAATAATGACAGCGCAGAGGATGGAGTTATCATTGTCCCCAAGCGCGGGTTCACCGGTTATGATTTGATCTTTCAGACCGCCGAGCTTGAAGAGAGCTGTGATGCGTGTCTTCCAGGTCGAGAAATTTTCTTCGGTAAGTACCGGGATTGCCTCAATGGTCGTCTTTAGGATCGTGGCATTAACAGCGTCCATTTTTGACGAATACTAGAGTCTGGTTTGGTTCTGATTAGAGTCCGATGAGCGTTTCGAATAGCGATTTCGACTGTTAATCGTATTGAAATCTGAATGAAATTGCTAGAAACCAAAACCAGACTGAAGAAAATGAAACAAGTTTTTAGATATAAATAAAAGTGATAAGATGAAGAAAAAGAGAAATAAAAGAAGAAGAGAAAGCATACCGCCAGAGATTGTAACTATCGTAGATAAGTTGAGGACTTTGATAGAGATGTAAGAAGCAGGAGATATTTGAGAAGCAAGACTAATAGAAAAGAAAAATAACAAGGATTAGAAGACAAGTCAAAAAAGAAAAGATTAGTGATTTTCTCATGAAACAAAGACAATGAAAGAACAGGGAATAGAGAGAAGAAGTCAAGGAAAACAACAAACAGCACTGAAGTGAACTTGTTGCTGAATGATAAAGCCGCCTGATGAGATCGTATTGATGTTCTTGAGAGTCAATCTTGAAAGCGGACGGAGTCGGAGAATCAATGAGATCAGAGAGAGAACATGAACAGAGGATCGAGTCAGTTGGACTTTACCGAGTCAGGTCTTGATGATTGATCTTGATGTGAGATTGTGAGTCTTGAGTCTTGATCGAATAGTGAGAGTGAGAAACTTGACGAGTCTAGAGAACAATCAACCGGTACTGGTTGTCTTCTTATGGAGAGGAAGCTGGTTGGTCACGTGTGTCTGTCTCATCATGCTGCGGCAGGTGTAGGACACTGCAACTCATGGTAGAGGACAACTTGAAAACTCAACAGTTTGTCTGGAGCGGATCTGCTTGATGCTGGGGGCCCTTCTCTTCATGGAGAGCTCGCAGCGGGTGATCTTGAGTTCAATAGTACCCAAAGATCGAATGATTTCCTCGTCTTGACATATTATTTGCTCCGGGGTTGGATTGCCAGCTACATGATCTAGTGCTTGGACAAAGTCGTCCGGATCGACGAGATGAAGAGGCGCGAATTCGAGCAGACGGGTGGTTGTTTCGGAGGATCGGAAGGCATTCAGATTGTGTGGCCGGGCTGTCTGGGAACGATGTTGATGATAACCTCCGATGCTAATCCCATCCAACAAGACTTCGACGAGGTAGTCGCTTGATTTCAGCGCTCTATCAGTCTCAGTGGAGCTAGAACAGGTTGGTTTAGTTCTCTCCAGTAAGTCATATGCGGTATGGTGGACTTGGAAGCTGATTTGGAATTGGCTTGATTGCTTTGATTCGATCGTAACGATCTCTTTAAATGCGCCTGTTATGGGGTCTTTGATCGATTGTTGAGAGTACTCTTGGCAAGCTGTTTTGGTCGGTTTTGTTGATGATGTTGTTGATGATGGTGGTGGTGGAGTGATGAGTTTGATGGTGCAGCGTGCAGCAGAGGCTGAGTTAGTGGGCATGTTGCTGCTGCTGGTACTACTACTACTATTACTGCTGCTGATGATGATAGAGAGCTAGATGGTTCCAGTCAAGATGGGAATTGCAATGGCTTAAGGATATGTTGGCGAGATGGGACTAATGAGCAGAGCCGGAGCAGAGCAGAGTGCCATCAGAAGCAGTCCGTTTCAGGATATCAAAGCCAGAGAAGCCCAGCCTGTTGTATTGCTGATAGCAAAGGGCAACCAGCTCATAACTCTCTCGCGGCGATAAAGGATTGAATCTGTTGATCTCAATTGAAAGGGTAAATCCCTTCACAAAACAACATGGAACTGCTTTCGAAATGAATGATCAGGAGAACTGTGTATCAAGGGGAGCAAGACCGATTTGTAAACAAATTTATACAGCTGCTGCTGTAGAGATTTGGTTATAACACAAGACGAGACCAAAAAACCTCTTCTTGATAACCTCCACAATCTAGAGTGACCTGGACAGCGGGAGCAATCGCATCGGCTCGAAGCGTCTCCCGGGCCGGGTCCCAATCAACGACAACCTGCCCCCACACATCGGCACTTTGCCGGGTACATAAAGGCGAGCTGAATCTGGCCGTCAGAGTCTACAGCATTTGAGATCGGGTGACCTGAACAAGCCTGAACACCGATCGTTCAACCTGACTCAAAGAGGAAGCTCTTCTCATACGGGTTTTCCCTTTGATCTTGGCACTAGGTCATCCTTTGCAGTCAAAGCATCCGTCTAAATTTGGGCCAATCCCATCATCAAGCCCAGCCCAAGTAAAACCCATCTTGTAAGAAACATGGGCCAGCTTGTAACCTGCTGGATAGGACCACTACAATGGGCTTGGCTCTGGAACATACAAACCAATCCCCAGTTTTGATCCCTATTGTCCTCACCTGCCCCTTTGCTACTTGAAGTCTTGGATTGGTTCCACCACTTGCAGTGGCCTCACTGGAAGGCCCTGTCCACCATTCCTTCATAGGAGACTTACTTTGAGACATTGCATAATCAGCATCTCAACCTATTCCTATTTTAGATTCCTCTCAAGACTTGGAATTAAATGGAGATTCAAACGCTTATATTGGAAAAAAAGAATGATGCTACAACTTATGTACAAGCATCAGGGATGTGCTAAGAAAAGGGGGATTACAAGTGGCAGAACAAGGTCTTTGGCATTTGCACCTCATGCTTTTTTAGGATAATCAATATAAGAAAGGGTCTTGAAGGTCTAGTCTACATAGATCTGGGTGGTGAAAAAGCTCCAAGATGGCAAGAATGAAGATAACGGATGGATCAGTATAATGGGCTATTCTCTGAGAGCAAGAGCATTTGTATATCCATGAGATCACTTTTCCTATCTTACCGATTTTTGGTACCAGTAGCGCTGCATCCTGCAACCTGATAAGTCCAGAGTATCCATGGCATCTTGGCTTAGCCCAGGTAAGGCTCTGGCTTCTTCCCTGTGTTTGTCAACTAGGAGATGGTAGAGGTAGGTCTTGAGGAAATGGCTGGAAACTGATCTGGTTATTATCAACAGACCAGGTATGATGCACTGACAAATCAATCTGATCATTTGGTTGTTGTCAGGACTTGGTTGAGCAGGCACCACAGCTGTCTGAACCAAAGTTGAAATATCACAAAAACAACAGCATTGTGGTGAGTACATTTAGACTGTAGTTAACAATATCTTTGCTATGTTTCTTGAATGTGATTATTGATGGTTCTTTGACACCTTACTACTATTCACTCAATGCAATAGATAAGCACAACTACATATTGCTTCTGTTCAAATAAATAGGCAATTAGTTGTTAGCTCTGTCTTCAAGTGGTTGTGAGATAGCTAATCAAAAGCAAATTTCATTGGCTATGAATGGCATCATTTGAAACTCTGAATCATAAATCAAATGATCAAAAATTTCAAGTTAGAATAGATACAAAGTTTGATCAAGTAAAACATTACTCTTGAGAGGCAAAAATGAGCAATGCATGATTTTCTCTCTAGCCAAATGTTTAAAATGTTGATTTGCTGCTTGGAAATAACATCATTCTAGCTCTGCAGGTTTTTCCATTATAAATGGAGGAGCAAATCCACTTTTCCTCCATTTATAAAGGAAGCAACGGTGGGCCAGCTACACTAACCGTAGCGTTAGTGTAGCGTAGTGTAGCTAAAATAAGCTAACATGTAGCGTAGTGTTAGCGCAAATCTGAAAATTTGCACTAACACTACGCACGCAGGGCGCCAGTGGGTGTTAGCTGTTAGCGTAGTGTTAGCTTTATTTCACTCATCCACACTAACACTACGCCCATGGGGCGCAAAAAAGCATCCGCTACACTAAGCTACAGCGCTTTTTAGCGGTTTTTTGGCCTTTTTTGCCGCTAACAGCGCTGTAGCGTAGCGTAACGCAGCGTAGTGGCTGTAGCGGTGCACTAACACTACCCAAAAAAAGGTGTGTTGTTAGCGCCGCTAAAAGTTAGCGTAGCGTAGTGGGCTGTAGCGCAAACTAACACTACACAAAAAAAGGTTGCTGCAACAGCAGCTACGCTAACGCTAAATGGCCATTTAGCGTAGCGTAGCGTAGCGGCCCACCGTTGAAGGAAGGATTGGATTGAAACAGGTGGTAAGCTGGGATAGAGGCCAGGAGTCAGGGAAATACTGTCAATACAAGGAAGCTGTACTATAGGGTTGATGGAATGTCCTCCTCACATATGGCTTCTTTGTTTGGCAGATAGACAAAAAATATGCAATGTTATTCCAAGCAGCAAATCAGCATCTTAAAATCTGAAGTTGATAAGCTCAACATTCTTTCTCCCCAACAAAACTTAGAATCCCAGTCCCTCTCAATATTTTTCATTCTCCTCCCATCAATCATACTCCCAAGGTGACTTTGATTTTAATTCAATTGATTGTAGATGTTTTTTTTTTTTTGGTTTTTCCTATCATGCATCATAGTTGATGACTGCCAATTTGACATATCCCCTCCTTCCTACTTGTGAAGTAGTGAGACGCTGGGTGCATTGTACCAACTAGGCTGGGAGGTACCTATGTCTGGTGTCTCAATCTCCACAAATTATATGAGATGATCTTTTCTATTTGTTTTCAAAAAGAAAATTGATGGACACATTATGGCTTGAGGAAGAAGACAGCTTAATGTTTATGATTTCAAATAAAGAAATGGTAATAAAAAAACAAGATTGTGAAGAAAAAGACAAGGCAATTCCAAGAAGGAACTTGAGATGGTATTGGTGCATCTCTAGAAACATTGGGGTTGGACAGAAATGGATCTGATTAGCAATCATATTTGCTGATGTGAGGGAGTAGTCCAAAGGAAGGCTTGCCTGATCTTGTATCCTTCTCTTGTTTCCGTTGAGCCGAGGCATTGAGTGCTTCGGCATTTTCTCATGCCACCATAGACACCCTAGCTGAGAAGGCAACCATTAGTAGTGAATTGAGCGTATTCTTATCAATGTATTGAGACCATAACTTACCATCGTCGGTATTAATAATTGTTTAAAAAATGGCGGTCAGAGGAGGTTTAAGTGAAGTCATGACTTATGAATTCAATGGCCAAGGAAAAAGATCAAGCAAATCAGAAAGAATATGGTGTGGGGAGTCTGAAGGCGAGCATCATTTGAATTGACCTACCTCTCAGTGAATTTGAAGAAAAAGTAGTACAAGGTTTGTATAGATGAGAAAGATATCGGAGATCGAGTCTGTTTGAAGGAAGTCGGCGCAGACAGAAGGCAAAAAGGTTAGAAGACTTGATATTGGATATCATGAGAGGATAGACTATGAGAAGCTCACAAGAATTCAGTTTGAGTCGTCGTCGCCAGCCTCTTCATAAACGACCTCAATGTGAAAGTTAGTGCCCTTGACAGCAAAGAGCTTCATTCCCTTGGAGGTGAAGCGGTATTGGTGGGAGGCACTGCGAGTGAGGTAGGGGGCCTGACGTGCCATTGAAAGGTTGATGAGGATGCATTGTTTTGGGGTGCATCCGGTGGCACCAAATCGAATGGCGTTAGCGGGTCTTCGCCCGGAGTGGGCTAGGGGGGATGAAACTGGAGGGGTGTGGGGGGAAGCCATGGTTAGGAAACCGGTGGAGTGGGAGGGGAGGGAGGGGGATTGGACTGGTGTGCTGAGAGGAGAGGATGAGATGACAGTGGTGATCATTGGCAGTCTTTTATATCCCAAAACGCAGCAGCAAGGGCTCAGCAGCCATGAGAGCAGCACCAACCTCCCGGCTCAGCAGGATTACAGTCCTTCACCAGCAGTGACACTACATAGCAGCATTCCAGCTCCGTTGTAGCTGAGCCTTTGTCGGAAAGTTTGTGAAGTTTGGCAAACACAAAGGCCCGGTGTTACAGTCGTGTCTGTTCAGCACCTGGGTCCTTGTTGCCACAATAACAATCCGTGTATGTATCCCCCATGGCCAACATGCAGATAGAAAACTATGCGTGTCACTCCATTCGGCCTATGGTCACCTACCAAAATGATCTGAAAGGTAGGTGGTAACGAACCTTTTCTTTGAATTGGTTTGTATGATTTATTTCAGCAAGACGAAGACCAATCAAATACAACCATCAAAACTAGATATCACAGAGAATACCGAGATAGAGATCACAGAAAGAGACTGAGATCACAAGAAAGAGCGAATTAAGATCACAAACTAGAGATCACAGAAAATTGGGAAGAGATCACAGAAAAACAGCAAGAATTACAGAAAATCACAGGACTCGCAACAAACAGAGCTATCTGTCATGGCAGTTATATTGGTGTTGTTTCCGGATTCATCTGTTATGTTAGCCTTTGTACCGCCTGAGATGTTGGTGATGTTGGAGGGTCAGGGTGGTGCGCTGCCACACTCTGGACCAGCTGCAGTCGAGTTTGTGGTCGCGTTTAGTGCGTTTTTTGGTTGGCCAGGAGCCGATGGATCTGGTTTGGGGTTTGCTGATGGAGCTGGGGTCGGCCCGCCGGGAGAGGGTGTGAGGAAGAGACCCGTCGGTTGGGTTTTTGGTGCACTCCATCGCCCCACCACCAGGTGCGGCATCGGCAGGAGGTTTTGGCGTCCGCGGCCCCGTCGGGCTAGCCGGCTGAGCCTTGAGGCGATTGGGAAATGATGTGGTGTGGAGGTGCAAGTCCTTGCCGGTCGTCGTGTGCATATGGGATATCGGGCTGCACATCAAGATTATCATGGTTCACATCTTCGTGACGCCGTATTAGATCAGCTTCCTCCCGCCTGGCAATGTTCAGTTGATGATTGTAGCGTCGACTGTGCCGCCGGTAATCCTTGGTGGGACGAGCGTTTGTGCAAATCAGACAGACATAAGACGGGCCATCGGCAGTAGCGATGCAGTTGAAGTCTAATGCAGCAGAAGAATCGTCTACGTGAGCTGGGCCACTATTGGATTGGACAGAAATAAACACGGCTTACACTTTACGGTCGGCATGATGCACAACAAGTTGGACCCTCGGAGTAGTGGAGCGAGTTAGTCAAGTCCCGTCGCACTGTCCCAGCCAAGGTGGGATCGGACGAAAGCCCGACTGGCCAGTCCACAGACCATTCGGCCCGTCTGGCAACTGTCGGCCCACTGGCTCCTGCGGCCCCACCCAATTACCATGGGGCCAATGTGTAACGAGTTTTCGTTATCTTGCAGTCCGGCAATGTTTTTCGTTAAAATAGTTGATTCTGTATTTATGATGTCATGAGTATTTGTATTTCATTTTGATCTTTGATGACGTATTGCTCTGATCGGCGATTATCAATTCTCTTTATTAATGACGTATGAGATGATCGAGGATCTTTCCGATCGTTGTAGGTTAGATTATTTGTTATATATACTGTTGACTCTCTTTCTCTTTGTGGTTCTTCTTTCCTCCTCATCTCGATATTTCTACTCATCATATTTTTGTTATTACTTGTTACAATTAAAAACATAAAAAGAACATCATTATAATTATTATACATCCTCCTTCTCCTAGCGGTGGCCAGAGAATTTGGATTCTTTATTTATTATCTAAGCTTTCAGCGAGATTACCTCTCGGTAAATCTTCACAGCTACTAGCGGAATAGAGTAATAGATTAAGCCTCACAGTTATATCGAGATCTTCATTTCTGAGTTCTATCATATCAAACTTTGAAAATTTTTTTTGCTGTCGTCATGTCGGACGATAACTCTCAACCTTCTCCAATCACTCCTATTGGAGTTTCCTTACCCAGCTCCCCTTCCCCTTCCACAATCCATTTCTCATCCAGAAGACTTCCGGTTCCGACTCCTTCTACTCTTCCGGCTCCATTTTTTACAATCAATACTCCTTCGCCGATTCCTCAATCCATGTTGGAGTTTTCTCCTCGACCAATCGCCAGTCCGATCTTACCCGACTCCTACCCTTTGAATCATCCTGATCCTTCTCGACCTCGTCCTTTTCATCCATTGTCTCAAACTCGTCCCAGAACATCTTTTCCCGTCGATAATGATGTGTCGGCTTTGCTTTCTGACCTTCAGTTGAACAACGATTCTCAAGCTCAATCGTCTTCAATTCACGCTCAAATGATTGCGGATCTTAAAACGGAAGCGCGACACGACAAGTCGGTCATTCGACAGTTACAGGTGGATGCGGGGAAGATGAAGATCGAAATCAATAAATTGAAGACGGCTTGCCATGAAGATTTCCATCAGTTACGTTCTTCAATTCAACAAGAATTCCTTCAAGTTCGCAACGCATTCGATACGATTTCTTCTTCGACAGCCACTCGCTTTGATCGCTTGGAGTCGGTTACTGCCACGCCGGTGGCACCAGTTAAGAAAGCTTTTGTTGATCCGGTTTACTACTCTCACATTTTTTTCTCCGGTGCTCCGAAAGAAACTAACTCTTTCTGTTTCTTCATGAGAAACACGTTGGAACGTTTGCATAGTCAGTTTGCCGACGAGAAGCACAAGGTCATGTGGCTCGCGGGTTATTTTCGATCTGATTCTGGTCGGTTGGGGGATGTCTGTCCATCTTACAACTGGTGGCGTGGTTTACTTGGGAAGAACGCTCAGCAACAAGGGCTGAACTCCTTGACGGCATCGTCGCGAGCGGATTTTGTTTTGGATGAGCTGAAGAGTGCGGAGTCGTTTTTGGTTTCGATTGAAGCAACTTTCTCTAATCATCGGGAGGTTGAAGAGGCTCGCAAGGCACTTAAAGCGGCTCGCCAAGGGACTAAGACTGTTGAGGAGTTTAATATCATCTTCAATTCCCTCCTATACTCTGTTGATTTATCTGAAGCTTCTAAATGTGAGATTTATGACGAGGCGATTAATCAAGACATAGTTAGGCTTGGGATGTTCCGCGGTGGTTGGACGACGATCAAGACTCTTCAAGAAAAGCAAGACATGGCAGCTAGTTTGGCGATGGATCTTGGAGGGGTAGGCTTCTATGAAAAAGGGGTCCGGCAAAAGGCAATCAATCAAGTTGCGAATCAACAACGTTCTCAGCATCGTGCGGAGGACCATCGTCATTCTCAACCTCAGCCGGATGCAAACAAGGATTCCGGCCCGATGGAGATTGATGCGGTTTTGGCGGCGGAAATTGAAGCGACTGGTTTTACTCATTTGCTTTGGCGAGCGGAGGCGAAGGCGAGGAAGTTGTGTATTCGTTGTGGTTTTCGTTTCGACAAGGCTCATAGGGATCTTCACGCTTGTCCGGTCGATCCTGATTTGCATTTGAAGACAAGAGACATGGTGGATTTGTGGCGCAAATGGGGCGGTTCCTTGCGACAGGAAGGTGGTGTTGGGCGTCCCGCGGACTCGTACCGACCAGTCAAAGCAGAAAGCTTGTCTGCACGCATTTCGAACGAACGCTCGGATTCTCCACGCGATAAGGGAAAAAAGCGAGAATCAGTCTCTCAGGTCGACCATCAGCCGTCGGCAAAACGTTCTTCGGAAGGTTCAGTTTTTGCGGGCCGCGATGCGGCTAAAGCCTCCACATCCTGTGAGGAGCAAGAACCGATGTCGGCTGGGGAATTGTTTTTTGCGTCAAGATTGGCGAATATGGACATTGAAGATTGTAAGCGTTTAACTTATGTCAAGAAGGCTGTTGGTATAGATAACCGTCCTTTCTTTAATGGAAGGTTGATGATTGGTCTGTCCACATATGCTGACGCTTTGGTTTTGGTTGATTCGGGCGCGTCGGCATCGTTCATTAATAAAGAGTTTGTAAATACTAATAAAATAAGTACGGTTGATTTAGATGTTGGCTTACAGTGTAATTCTTTCGATGGCACTCCGGCATCATCAGGCGATATTACTTGTTTTGTAAAAGGGAATGTACTAATTCCCACTATTAGCGGCTCGTTTCTTACTACTCATGTCAAATTGTTTGTAACTAGGTTGGCTTCTGCTGACATTATTTTTGGTAATCCTTGGTTGAAGGATTCTAATACTTTCATCGGGGGTAATGATAATGACATTGTTACTTATGATTGTGTACAACAGATTTGTTCTGTTGTTTGTGATGAAGGAAAGAATTTGATAGATTCTTTTGCTGATGTGTTTGTAACAGAAGCGGTGGCAGATTTGCCGCCTCATCGGGAGGGATTCGATTGCCGGGTTAATCTTAAAAAGGGAGCTATACCTCCTTTTGGCAAGATGTATAACTTGAGCAAAGATGAACTTGATGAATTGAAGATTTATGTTACTGATAATGTTAAAAAAGGTTTTATTAGGGTCTCATCTTCTTCGGCGGCGGCTCCGATTTTTTATGTCAAGGTACCCGGCAAGGCAAATCGACCATGTGTTGATTACCGCAAGCTGAACAATATGACCATTCGAGATTCATATCCTTTGCCGGTGATTGGGCATTTACTTAATTGCTTACATGGTTGTAGTTTTTTGTCGAAGGTAGATTTGAAAGCAGCTTTTAATCTGTTACGGGTGGCGCCAGGAGACGAATGGAAGACTGCTTTTCGTACTCCGTGGGGGCTTTTTGAGTATCAGGTTATGCCTTTTGGATTGGCTAACGCACCAGCTACGTTTCAACGTTTTATTCAACATGTTTTACGTGAATATTTGGATGTTTGTTGTTTTGTTTACATTGATGACATTTTGATATTTTCTAAAACACGTGAACAGCATTGTATTGATTTGCGTAACATCTTACAAAAATTAAGGGAAAATTCTTTGAAGGCGTCATTAAACAAGTGTGAGTTTTTTTGTTCAAAAGTAACCTTTTTGGGATTTGATATTACAGATACAGGGTTGAAGATGAATGAGCGGAAGTTGCAAACCATTGCGGAATGGCCATTTCCCTCGAATTTGAAGGAAGTACAGCGTTTTCTTGGTTTTGTCAATTTTTATAGGCGTTTTATTCCCCGTTTTTCGGAAGTTGCTAGTGCTTTGACTAACTTAACTAAAAATGATTTGCAGCAGGATTACTCTTTTCAATCAAAGGAAGCGCGAGATTCATTTGATGCGTTGAAAGGGTTGTTTGTTAAAGAGCCATTACTGATTCATTTTAGTTTTGACAGGGATCGGAATGTTCATGTGGATAGTTCGGGTTATGCTGTTGCGGCGGTATTGAGTCAGCCTAATGCTGATGGGATTTTTCAGCCGGTTAGTTATTTTTCGAGGAAGTTGTCGGATCGGGAACGTTCATGGCCTATTTTTGATCTGGAACTGCTGGCGATTGTTTCGGCGTTTGAAGAATGGCGAGCGTGGTTGATGGGAACATGTAATCCAGTTTCAGTGTTTTCTGATCATTCAAACCTGCTGTATTTTAAGACTGCTAAACATTTGTCACCTAAGCAGGCGAGATGGGCGAATTATTTGGATAATTTTAACATGCTAATTTATCATATCTCTGGTTCTAAGAATCCGGCTGATGCGCCAAGTAGGAGGGAGGATTATTCAGATGGCGTGTTGATTCGAAGGGATGCTGATTCGATCACTCGTAACATGGTGGCTATTGATCAAGTAAAGTCTGTTCCAGCTGACTCAAAGATGCATGACTTACACTTTCAACGACCCAATTCGGCGTTACTACAGTTTTTCGAAAAGAATTATACTAATGAAGAGAAGAAGACACGCGGGGTAAAGTTATTTGAAGGGTGTTTCTGGCATTTTCATAGAATTTTTGTTCCAGCAACGTTGCGGACTAAGATTATGAAGATGTATCATGAAGTTCCGACAGTCGGGCATCCGGGTATTGCTCGGACTTTGTCTTTACTTACTCGTAGTTTTTCCTGGCCGGCGGTCAAAGATTCGGTTATCAGGTTTGTTAATAGTTGTGATTCGTGTCAACGAGTAAAGGCTCGACGGCGAGCACCAGATGGAAAATTGGTGTCTATAATTCCGTCACCGCGTCCGTGGAGTGTTATTGGAATGGATATGATTGTTAAGTTGCCTCTTTCGGGGGGTTTTGACTCTATTTTAGTAGTGATTGATTTATTGAGTAAGCTTACCCATTTTATTCCTTGTAATGAGGCGTGCTCTTCGGCGATACTGGCGACTCTTTTTCGTAAGAATGTTTTCAAGTATCATGGGCTTCCTGATAAAATTGTCTCGGATAGGGGTAGTACATTTGTCAGTGATTTTTGGAAATCACTTATGTTTTCTTTAGGTATACAGTCTGGGGCGTCAACGGCTTATCATCCACAGACGGATGGACAGACGGAACGCATGAATCAGGTTGTGGAAGATTATCTTCGCCATTTTTGTTCTTATTACCAGGATGATTGGCATAAGAGTTTGGATATGGCGGAGTTCTCCATAAATAATTTGGATTCGGCAAGTTTGAAGATTTCACCTTTCTTTTTTACTTATGGTTTCCATCCAAAATTTAACATTATCACTGAAGCCACAGGAAGAAAGGATTTGGATGATTTCTTGGTTGATTTGCAGATTACACAAGAAACGGCTATTGAATGTTTAACTCAGGCGCGAATAAAACAAGCATTTTATTATAACCAAGGGAAGAGAGATGCGCCTTCCTATAATAAAGGTGATAAGGTGTTGTTACTCCGCAAGTTTATTCAGTCTCGAAGGTTAAATTCCAAGTTAGATTATAGGTATTTGGGCCCGTTTACAGTAGTTAGTATGATAGGTACTAATGCTGTTAAGCTTGATATTGAAAAGGACTATCCGAAGCTGCATCCTGTCTTTAATGTTTCTCTTTTGGTGCGTTACTGCGATCCTATGATCATTGCTGATCGTGGTTTAATTTCTGGTTCGAAGCAGAAGTACTACGATGACAGTGAGGTAGTTGATTGGAACAAAGTTCGCGTCATTCTGGATGAAAGACTCGTAAGTAAGGGTAAGACTGACTATTTGATTGCTTGGAAAGGGACAACAGTGGGAGAAAATACGTGGGTAGCTGACAAACATATTCCAAGCTCGGCTCAACATTTTGTGGATTCCTTTAAAAAGATTCATGAGGCAAAGTACAAAAAGAAAAAGAAAAAGGCGGCTCTGACGGATGGACAAAGTAAGGTAGTAGGTGAGGCTATTTTGTAACGAGTTTTCGTTATCTTGCAGTCCGGCAATGTTTTTCGTTAAAATAGTTGATTCTGTATTTATGATGTCATGAGTATTTGTATTTCATTTTGATCTTTGATGACGTATTGCTCTGATCGGCGATTATCAATTCTCTTTATTAATGACGTATGAGATGATCGAGGATCTTTCCGATCGTTGTAGGTTAGATTATTTGTTATATATACTGTTGACTCTCTTTCTCTTTGTGGTTCTTCTTTCCTCCTCATCTCGATATTTCTACTCATCATATTTTTGTTATTACTTGTTACAATTAAAAACATAAAAAGAACATCATTATAATTATTATACATCCTCCTTCTCCTAGCGGTGGCCAGAGAATTTGGATTCTTTATTTATTATCTAAGCTTTCAGCGAGATTACCTCTCGGTAAATCTTCACAGCTACTAGCGGAATAGAGTAATAGATTAAGCCTCACACAATGTCCCCATCGCAGTCATACGGTCCCCGGCAGCCTCGCGGGACGCAGATGTTGCCAGGTTGTGACTGGTGCGTCGTGATTCCGCAAAAAGGTAAGCGTCCCGGTGACACGACCCTCAGTGACCCTGGGGTGCCGTTCTTGTAACCGTAACAGGGACAGGGCGGTAACCCTGCTGTCACCCGGACGGTGTTTAGGGTCGCGAGGACGATATTTCGTCGGTGACGCTCTGGGCTCGTCAGTGTCCTTTCGAAATCCCCCCGCCGTGTAGGTATTTGAGATTCCGGAGCTGTGGGTGTGGATGGTGGGACGCTCAGAACTTATCCAAATCATAGCTCTTACAGCAATCAATGAATTGGCACCCAGGTACATGGGCAGAGATTCAGAGGGACACATTCGAGGTTCATTGATCCAACATGGACATTGGATGGACTTTGTCTCTGATAATACCGACATATATATAAGACTGTTTGCAAAGAATCCTATCCGAATTCCATCAAGAACTAGTTCAGTGTTTGGAACAGATGTCGCTTGGCTCAAAGGTTTTTCATAAAAATTCATTTGAGCCTGATGCTTTTGCATTCAATTGCTTATTGGGGGACACTGGAATTGATTTCAGAGTGACAGGGGAATCTAATGTAGATTTGATGGTGGCGATTTCTTTCAATGGTGTAGAAATTAGAATTGAATCTCGAGACGCCGTTCTGTTTTCTGAGGTGCTGATGGTGAAATGATAGACTGACTGATTGTAGAACTTGAGGCAGCTGCTACGAATCACGATATGATCACTCCCAGTTTGTGCCATGTGGTGAAGAAGCTAGTTTGATGGCTTATATAATCTGATGCTTGAGCACGGATGAGTCTGCCGCAGCACCCTGCTTGCTTAATTTTCCATTCTCGGTGACAGGTGTGCTGTGGTGTGATGATGTAATCTTGAGGAACCTTGTTGCAGATCCTCGAAACTTCCAAACGGACTATAAAACCAACTTCACCCTCAACCCAGCATCCCCCCCTCCCCCCTCCAAGCAAAACCACAAGATGTCATCGCTATTCCCACTACTCAGATCACTCCTCATCTCACCACTCAAACCAACATCAACAACAACCAACACTATCCAACAGATCATCCAAGACAGAGACCGAGGCGGATTCACCACTCCAGACCGACAGCAGGACCATCTCTCGTTCCATGACACCGGATTAAGAGGCACCCAGGGGGCACTCATCGTACTCGAAGCACTAGCCACTAACCCATTCGCAAGCAGGCTCACCCTCAGCCACAACATCCTCGGCGATCAGGGCGTCCGCCAGCTGGCCAGTCGACTCCGATTCCTCAAGAAAAGACGCGCAACCCCCATCCACGAACTCAACCTGGCCTCAAACGCACTCACCGATGCCGCACTCATCGAGCTCTGTCGGACCTCAGACGGGCTCCTGGAACTCTACCTCTCCAATAACCACATCTCTCTCAACTGTTCTCCCTCACCCTTCCTCGCCGGGCTCGGCAACCTCACCCTGCTCTCACTCACCTCCAACCCCATCGACTGTCTCGCCCTATCCGACTTACTCCGCAACCCCAAACTCGCCCTCCTCCAACTCAACACCCTCCATCTCTCAGCCTGCGCACTCGACCTCCCCGTCGCCGTCTCCCTTGCACTCTGGCTAGAGGATAGATCCCGATCTGGGACTTTGGAATGGCTTGCCGTGAATGGTAACAATTGGGGAACAGCCGGATGCGAACGGATCGTTTGGGCACTAGCACGTCGAGGAGGGAACAGCAATCTACTTCGAGTTGAAATGTTAGCCTGTGATGCCCCTCCATCAGAAGCAGAACCCACTGAGGGTCGAGATCAGATGGAGATCGTCAAGCTGATGGGATTCAGAGACTCGAACGATCTCGAAGATTGCCATTTGACTGTCCAACTTGAAGGGGGCTGGAAGAAGCTCTTAGAGAAATGCGAGGCTCGGAACCAAGCCCTCAGACTAGCCACTCGACGGGCCGCACTGGGACTGGTCAGCACCGCACGCCCGATCCTCTTGGGCACCCCGCGTCCCCCAGCCTCAGCTGAAGCAGAAACCATGGAAGCCAGCAAGGCTCGAGTGTTTCGGTGGGACAAATTACCAGAAGAGCTGAAGCTGCACATCTGGAGATGGGTGGCCATCCTGAGCGCCTTTCCCGGCCTACAATCACTCGAGCTTCCCGACCATCATCAGCAACAAGGCCCGTCGCTCTCGGCGGCCGATCAAGTCCATTCCCGGGCCGCCACCGCCACCTCCCGAGCTGCCGCCGTCGACCCCTTTATCCTGCCCGACCCGCTCACCCCTTCCCAACTTTTCAGCCTCATCAATTACGCACAGGATCGCGAGAGCTTGCAGGCCGAGATCGCACTCAGAGAGGAGGCTATCTTCTCTCACCTCATAGGCTCTAAGTCTTCCTCTTCTTCTTCTGTTCATCGTCAGTTGGTCGACAATCTTAGGAGAGACGCAGATATCGATCGCCAGGGTCGCGCTTTCATTCTTTCCTCCTGCGGCTGTCTTCGATTCCAGGGCGATATCTGAATTTCCTTCCTCAATGATTTTTTTTCTTTTCGTAATAGATCTCGACTTCTTCTTCTCTCTTGCTTATTTTCTCTTACCCAATAACTCTTCCTCTCCCTCTCTTAAGTCTTCAGCACTTCCAATAGATACATAAAACCCGTTGATCATGTTATCCTTCTTCCTCTTTTCTTTGAGTATTATTAGAGTCGAATGAGTTTGTTGTATTACACCAAGAATTGTATTATTATTATTATTGTATTACCGATTTCCTTCCTCTCTTGATATCGTTCAATATTCTCGCTTATATCTCCTTAAGCCTTTGGTTGTGTGTTTGTGTTTTTTGGAGTGAGAGGATAGCAGTCTTAGTCATCATAATTTGTTGTTTTTCGTATTGTAGAGCATTATCAAACTGTCTTTTCCCTATTATATACACTAGAGAAGTAAAGATTTTCACGGCACCAATCGAGTTGTAGAATGATGTCAATCATGTCTTTGGCCATTCTCTTGAGCAGTGTATCTTGAGGTCACCAAATCTAGGAGGCTGCAGGCTCTTTGTGTGCTTCGAAGACTCAGCCTGGACAGATGGGCGCGGTTCTGGAAGTTTGCTTGATCATGCCTGGTCACCAATCTAACACACATAGAATCTGTTTGATTTTAGATTTGTCTATCTGTCAAAAAAAAGTAGCCATATGTATGCGTTGTATAATTGAAGGAACTTGAAGAGAAGAGATTATGTTGCCCATATTGTGTATGTAAGAGAAACTCGATGATCCGTAATGGGTATGTAATGTACAACACCAATTATACAATAAATAAAACAACAACACTTCAAACAAACAAACAAACAAGCATCAAACTGGCTGGTACAAACAAACAAACAAAGAATACAAAGAGAAGATGAAGGGGGTGGTAAGAAGAAGAAGAACGTGCGTGTTTGGTAATCAAGAGTTGATAGAGAGGATATCAAGAACGATGGTGGTGTGGTGCGTTGTGTATATGATCAACTATCGCAGCAACAACAAAACAAAATGAAAACAAAGAAGAAGAAGAAGAAGAAAACAAGCGGGGAGAGATCAGGAAGTAGGGTGTGGAGATGCGTGCATGCGTGTACGGGTGTGCATATCTCGGGGATGATCAAGCAAATGTTGTCCTGTTTCAAGTCGGTATAAACTCTGTTCTCACCGTCAAAGAAAAAAAAAACGAAAAACGAAACCAACAGAGTGGGAAAAGTCAGTTTTCCAATCCAATCAAAATAAAAAAGAAAAGAAATAAAATAAAATGAGAAACGGAATAAATGGGAGAAGAAAAAGGGAAGACGGACTTTGAGAGGCTGAAGTTTGTTCACTGGTCGAGTCTTTGAACGCCGCTAAGCCGGCCAAGATTCCTCCCAACATGAAGATGACGGAGATAAGCAGCCTAACATAACCAGTCAAAAAGAGAAAAAAAAAATTAGAATGAATTTTCCACAGATAAAAAAAAGGAGGAGGAGGAGGAGGACGGACCAGATAACGCCCCAGACTCGACTAGGAATGATCGGACACAACTTGGCGAATTGGGTGGCATCTGATTCGTTCACTTTCCGGAACACTAGGTCGTCTACGATGTCCCAAACACTGTACAGACACGACATCACTCCATTAAATAAGACGTAAAATCTTAACGGACTTCCATGATCTATAAACCTGTTTTTTTTTTTTTGGGGGGGGGGGTGTGGATTGATTGTTGTAACAAAGCGAAGAGCAATGTGTCAGTAATTGAGAGGATCGGTGTGGAGGTTTTGGGTGTTGATGCGAAAGACTTCGGGACGGTAATTGCGTACCAAAACGCGACCATGATTCCGATGGCGATGACCACGACGATCCTGGTGAGCCAATTGCGAGCCCACCAAAGAGTGATCAAGAGCATCACTGCCAAGATAATACTAGCAACCTAAAACATCAAAAAAAAAAAATCACACATCCATGGAAAAATAAGAATTTTTTGTAGCGATGAGAAGTAATTCAAAAACTGTACGAGAAAAAAAAAAGGAAAAAAAAGAATAGCTGACTTTTGAGGCCACTGTATCGAACCCAGCAAAGATCAGTAAGGCGCCAATCAGCGAGGAGCCGAGGTATCCGGCCGGTAAAGTGCATGCTTGGATCCCGCCTCTCATCTTAGTCAACCCCCCCTCTTTTTATTTATTTACACACACACACAAAGCCCAACATCATTTTTTTTTTAGTCTCGGCACTCAATTTCTTGAGATTACAAGTTGTGAGAAGAAAGGATTGGTTGTTTACCGTTGGGGTCTAATGTGATGCTCTCGATTCGGGCTCCCGTACATTTTCCAACAATGGCATGTGAACTATATTTGTTATTATATGAAATCACATGTTTTTTTTTCAAAAAAAAGAAAACAAAACAGATTAGTGCTATTGTTCTTCTTGTAAACTGTAGAGGAAGCGAAAAATAGTGTTGAGAGGTTCGGTTGAGACCGACAATTCATGGAAGGCGACGGTGAGTAATTTGAACGGATAAATGATATGTCTGAGTCCCCAGAGATTCCTATTTTTTAAATCAATAAATAAATCCCTATCAGTGATTTTTTCCCTTTCTTTTATGAGAAAAAAAAGTGAGAGAGAAGAGGACGGACCAGGCGATGAGGATGAAGAGTGCATAGCCAGCAATCACGTAGAGTGTGATTCGTTGAGTTGAGTTGGGTGACAGAGCTTCGCCGACTGAGCGGGCTTGGAATGAGTGAAGTGTTTGGTATTGGTCGTAGACGAGCGTGGGCATGCCTTCTTTGGTTCCTTGGTTAAAATGATCCCTAGTCCTACGATTCTACTTCTTGTCGATACGCTTCTCTTTGTCGTTCCGTCGGTATATCGTTAGTCTTTGCAGGTATAAGTTTCTTCTTGAGTCGGTTCTTTTTTTTCAAGCTGGTTGAGTGGTTGTCGGTGTGAGCTTGCAGGCTGTGTGGGTGTTGTTGATGTTGTGGCTGTGCTGGTGTGCTCACAGCTCTCAATAAATTCAGTTGATGCGTCCAAACTATGTGGTTACAGAGAGGACGGATCATGGGCTTACCTAAACCCTCTTGGCAGCTCTGGGCACTGGATACTTGACTTCACTAACACTTCCTGTCACACATTATTGTAAGCCCAGATTCAACCCACATGTCACAATTTTCGGCCTTGGCTGACTCAGTAGTTCTGCATGTAAGAAAGCGAGAAAATACTATGAGTCCCGTGACTGGTTTTATTCGAGTGCAAAAGAAAGATATTATTGCATGATTACAAACCTGTAAGAAAGCGAGAAAATACTATGAGTCCCGTGACTGGTTTTATTCGAGTGCAAAAGAAAGATGAGGAAACTCGAATAACCAGCCACGGTTACAACTTATAAATGCTTTGATTATGTAACATGCAGATTTAAAAGTATGTAAATATGAAATGGAAAAGTATGTAAATATGAAATTGAAAATAGACAAAAGTCAGAAAAGAATAAAATTGATGAGAAAGGAAAAAACCAAAATAGTTTGTCATGTTGACATCTCGTAACCTTACAGCCCCTCCCAACATGAAAAACTTGTGCCGGTACTAAAACTAATAAGAGAAAAAAATGGAAGAAATGAAATGAGAGAAAAGAAGAATAAAACAAATGAACCAAAGGAAAAAAATGAAATATCAGATAAAAGGAAAAAATAAAGAGAGGTGATTACGCCGGAATTTCCCCAACACCCAAATCCTTTAGGCTAGCCAGATGCTTGGCAGCTCCTAGGCGTTTGGTGAATACGTCCGCCAGTTGGAATTGATTCGAGATCCAATAAAGTCGAACCTGATATTTACGAACAAAATCATTTACGAAATAAAATGCTCGCTGTAAATACTTGATCTTCTTTTTGGAAGCATTGTCGGTGGCGACAAGTACGGCAGCTTGGTTGTCGCATAAGATTTCGTAGTTGGATACCGGGCAGACATCGTCAAGCACGACCTTGATGTTGGCGAGTGTTTGGGTCGCGATGGATAAGGCCACGTATTCCGCCGCACAGGTGGACATGGCCACAACATCTTGGCGTTTAGAGCCCCATGTTATCGGATTACCGCAGTGCTGGAGGAGATAACCCGAGGTCGACCGCTCGTGTTCGCCTCCCCAACCGGCATCGACAAAAAGTCGCACCTCCTCTTTCCCAGGTTGGAAATGGATGGCCCGGTGTGTATTCTTCTTGATGTATCCAATAAGATGGTCAAGGGCGGACCAATGTGCCTCGGAAGGTCGACTGCTATACCGTGCAAGCATGTTTACCGCGTACGCAATATCCGGACGAGTGCCGCACGCCAGATACATGAGTGAACCCAGAACCGACCGGAAAGCTGTCTCATCAACGGGATCCGACTTGGATGTCTCAAACGAGATTTCCGGTAGAGTTGTGTTTTGATGTACCGTGCGTCGCTGGTACTGGCTAACAACTTGAGTGGCCAGCAGATGTTGTTCAAGGTAAGCCGAAGAAACCCGTTGATGTAGATTGATCCCAACGATTTGGTCAACTGCTCTTTCCACTTTACCTCAAGATGTTCTGTCATGCCGGCACGTAGCTCGTCAATGGCGGATTGAGCGTTACTGACAACAAGCCCGTCATCCACATGCATCCAAATAAAGATGCGCACTTCCTCGCGCCGGTAGACATAAAGGGATGATTCGACCTCCGATGCCTCAAAGTCGAGTTTAGACAAGATCTGCTTAAAATGAAGCCACCAGCAGCGCCCAGCTTGTTTCGTACCGTAAAGGGCTTTCTTTAAACGCAGAACCTTTCCCTTGAAATGTGGTCGGAGTTCGGTGGGCGGTTTCACGTAGACCTCCTCTTCAATGGGACTATATAAATAAGCGGAGCTTACATCAAATGAGTTCATAATGTACCCAAATTGTATCGCAATGGAGATGAGCAGGCGAAGCGTTGCCAAGGAAGCCGTGGGTGCGTAGGTGTCACGACAGTCTATGCCTGGTCGTTGATTGAATCCGCGCGCAACGTACCGCGCCTTGAAGAGGATGATTGCCCCAACAACGTCCCGTTTCAATGCAAACACCCACCGGGCCCCGATGACCTTGATGCCCTTCTGGGGCTCAACAGCCTCCCACACCCCAAGCTTCTCAAGCTGGGACAACTCGCGTTCTGCCGCCATTCTCCAGTCATTGGCGTGCGGTCCCGCTAGGGCCTGGTGAATATGGTTGGGTATCGCCACATCAGAACGTATGGGCAATGAATCGACGGCTCGTTCTTGGATCAAAGCTTCCTCATCCGTACGTTCCTGACCCAACACCAGGTTATTCAAGAGGAAAGAGATATCGTGTTTCGTCGTCGGTATTTCCGCCACCGGAAGTTGTTGGAAATCCGGGAAGACAGCATTGGTGGATTGGGTGAAGGTTTTCAAATGTTCATTGTAGAAAACCCAGCCTTTCTCAGACGCAGGGTATCCGACAAGGAAACACTCGTCCGCACGAAGGTCGAACTTGGTATTGCGCTTGTCCACCGGTCGGAACACCAATGCCCTAGCACCGAAAGGAAAGATGTATTCTGGAACCGGGACTTGGTTAAAAAGTATCTCAATCGGCGTCTTGGGAAAGATGCGTGAGTGGGGTAGTCGATTGTGTAAGTACACAGCAACTTGCTGAGCATAACTCCAGAACAACTGGGGGAGAGTAGAGTTGAGCATCATGACCCTGGCCATGTCATTGATCGTCCGGTTTACCCGCTCGGCCTCTCCATTCTCCTCCGGATGGTACGGAGACGAGTGCGCCAGAGTGATACCGCGTGCCTCCAGGATGGTCTTGAGCTTTTTGGATATGAACTCCCTGCCATTGTCGCACCTCAGAAAACGGGGAAAACGCCCAAGGCGGTTCTTTATCATGTCAAACCAGACTCGGAGTCGCTCGGCAACATCAGACTTCTGTTTCATCGGGGTTATCAGAGTATACATGGACGCGTGATCTCTGAGAGTGAGCGCGAACTGATTTCCATGAATGTCTTCATCAAATGGACCCATGACGTCTGACACCACAAGGTCCAGGATTTCCTCCTTGGGTATTGAAGATTTGGGAAGGAATCGCTTGCCAGTGGCTTTTGAGACGACACACTTCTCGCAGAAGAATGGCTTCCAGGTCTGTACACAATCTGGATCAACGAATCGCTCAAGGAATTTCAAGACAGCCTTGTCGTTTGCGTGACCAAAACGCTCGTGCCATTTGATGGACTCCATGCTGGGTTGATTTGTCATGGAAGCGAGAACAATTTCATTGCAGACGGGAGGAGGGTCCTCTTTGGTGACCAAATTCCAACAATAATTAGAGAAATGAGTTCGGAAAACACGATGTTTGTGTACCAACGACATTGTACAATCTTTGTCAAACATCGGTTGGAGACCATACGTTGCTAGCATACCAAGGGAAAGTATAACATAAGGAATAGAGGGATGATGATAGACATTCTTGATCCGAATCGTTCCACTAGGAGTCGGAATCCTCAGGCTTCCCATTCCAGTAAGCGACATTGCCGATTTGCGGGACGCAAGTAGAACAGGCACTGGATTAGTTAATCGCCTTTCAAAAGTGAAGAAGGGCGAGTTCCCGCTTACACAAGCCGAGGCGCCCGAGTCGATCAGGACCGTGTTGTCGTTGGGAGCAGCTGTGTCAATGGCGCGGACACGAACGGGACCAGGCTTGGAACCCGAAGCACCGGCAGGAGTTGGCTGAGTCGCAAGTTGACCCACATCGAGTCGTCCTTCTTGTAAGTCACGAGCAAGACGCCGGCAGGTGGAGGCCCAATGCCCCTTGATCTTGCAGTAATTGCACTCAGATCCCTTTTCGGCCATTTGGGTGCTGGTAGGTTGAGTCCCTTTGAAAGCAAGAGCGTTCGTCAGGGCTTTGTTGCCAAACGTCGAAGGTCTGCTTTGGTCGGTCCGTTTCTTCGAATTGTTGTTGTTGGGCATAACGCGATTGACCAGTATGGGGTTGTCGGATGAGCCGGTCTGAAGCTCTCCTTCAACCTGAGTGATCTGCTGGCAAACTTTATCCAAAGTCGGAACAGTGGTAGCCGTATTCAATCGATGGTTCAAATTGTTTCGGAAAGAGTTTTCGTCAACGTCGATGGGTGGTTTAACAACAGATTGAAGCATTAACCCAAAAAACTCTTCAGTGGTTATCTTTTTCTGTTTGATTTCGAAGTAGAATTTCTGGAACTGAGCAACGAGTTCATCGTTGGAGTGTTGGCGTTCCGATTGGTAAAAGTCGTGTAATTGAGCAACGAGTTCGAGTTTGTTTTGTCTATCGTTCCGTTTGCAACTGGCCTCCAACTTGTCAAAGATATCCTTTGGTTTCCGGGTTGTAGCTACAGTCGCCAAGAGGTTCTTGTCGAGAGTAGATCGCAGTAGGATGACAAGCGATGGTTCCTGCTCATCGTGAATCGTGAGCCAGTTAGTTGATTTGGATAGGAATTCATCTCGGCGGAAGACAAATTCGAGAGTCGTATTGATTTGTTGCTCCCAAGCGGAGTAGTTCTTCCCGCCAAACTTGAGGTATTCAACGTCGGTGTGAATCGATCGATGAAGCGCCATGGGGTCCTTCATGAAATGCTTCTGGTGAAAGGTGTATTGTTGAGAATCCACAGCGCGAGGGGTGTCTTCTCGTTTGACTAAGTGTGGAGGATCTCCCCGTGTTTGCGAGAGTGTGTCGGCGAGGTTGTTTACAGCCTTGATTACGCCATCGATTTTCAAGTCGAGCTTAATAACTTTGTGGTCGATACGACCAATTTCGTTTCGGGTTTCATGGTTACCCGTTTGGATGCTTCGAAATTTGGTGTCGAGGTCTTTGAGGTTGTGTATGATTTGTTCCTCTGACAATTCCCCCGGTACGAGTTGACTAAGTGAAGTCAGGGTGGAATCGGATCTTTCTTGCGTTTGGTCGGTTGTCTTCCCTTTGGAAGTGGAACTCTTCTTACTCATCTTGAGTTTTCGCGGTAGGCCGGCTTTTAACCTGTAAGAAAGCGAGAAAATACTATGAGTCCCGTGACTGGTTTTATTCGAGTGCAAAAGAAAGATATTATTGCATGATTACAAACCTGTAAGAAAGCGAGAAAATACTATGAGTCCCGTGACTGGTTTTATTCGAGTGCAAAAGAAAGATGAGGAAACTCGAATAACCAGCCACGGTTACAACTTATAAATGCTTTGATTATGTAACATGCAGATTTAAAAGTATGTAAATATGAAATGGAAAAGTATGTAAATATGAAATTGAAAATAGACAAAAGTCAGAAAAGAATAAAATTGATGAGAAAGGAAAAAACCAAAATAGTTTGTCATGTTGACATCTCGTAACCTTACACTGCACACCTTACATAATTCTAAAAACTGGGATAACATTTGATATCACTTTGCAGCCATGCTGGACTTTTTCTGACTTTTTGGATTGTATACATAGTTTCGTAAAATTCCCGAGACCAAATGAAAATTAAAAAAAATTACTATCATGAATATGTTTTTTTTTTTTTTTTTTTTTTTTCTGATCATATCCTTTACTTTCTTGGGGATGGTGGCCCTTTTTTTGCGACTGGCTGACTGGTTACGTCATTTCCACGAAAATTGGACTAAATGCGTGACCTTGTGCTTCGCACAGAAGAGTGGTAAACTGTCGGATGGAAAATTTCTATCTCTCCCTCTCCCTTTCCCTGGGGAATTCAGTTCTCAACGAAGCTACGCTATAGGTCAGTACTCACCACTTGATCAGCAAAACGGTTAAGTCAACGGTGTGCTCAGTCGGTAGACTGATTTGCTGTTCTTTCCAGATGGCAGCCCGAACGAGTCGACCACGATCCAAGAAGCTGAAAACGAAGCACGTCCCTACCTCCAACAGCGAAGATGAGGACGAGAAACCGATCGGACGACCCGCTCGAAGGGCCAAGAAGAAAGTAGTCGCCAAGAAAGAAGAGTCCCCCGCCTCCGCTTCAAGCCTCTCATCTGCCGAGTCTGACGCGAAGAAAGCCCAAGAGAAAGATTTCATCCCCTCTGATGATCCCGACGAAGGATCACCCGAGCTCGATAGCGATCATATTGACAGCGACGACGGTGACGATGTCCCCCCTAAAACTAAAAGCAAGAAACGGAAATCGACGGCCACTGGTGGTAGCACAACCGGCAATCCTAAATCTGTTGTCGTCAAAAACATTGCTCCTGGTCCGACTAAAGATCAGCTCGTCAGCCCTGGACTCATCGCCGGCTTGTAAATTGCTTTCTTCTCAAAAATCAACTGGCGCCTCTTTTCAATCAGTCAAGAACGCGTATTTTCTAAAAAAAAGTTGCCCATTTTGCGTTTGCAGCACGATGGATCTTTTGGAAAACTTAGCTAAACCAGAATGCAATGATCGAGAATGGCTGATTGTAAATGGTAAGTTTTTCCTTTTTTTTCCAATCCTTCTCTTACTTACTTTTCTTTTCTTTTCTATTCGATTCTCTCTTTTCTTTCGTTCTCTCCGTCTCTCTACATCTGATGACAACTTTTCTTCTTTGAATTTTTCTTGCCTATCAATATTTCAGATAACACGTATCGGAAGGCGTTAGAGAATTGGAAGGATTTCGTGGATCTGTTATGTCCCAAAATCGTGGAATGTGATTGGACGATTCCGCAACTACCAGCCAAAGATTTGGTTTATCGATTACAGTTCAGTCAACTCTCTCACTATCTCAAGTCTTCTCCTCTTCCTCTTTCCAAAAAAAAAAAAAAAGTTCATTTCTTCTTTTTCCATTAAAATTAATCTTGATTAACAGTCGAGATGTAAGGTTCTCCAGTGATAAAACGCCTTACAAAAAGTATTTCTCAGCTGGATTTTCGAGGACGGGGAGGAAAGGGCCATGGGCCTTGTATTATTTGCAAATCGAAGTCAGTCCTATTCCGATCTCTGATGACATATGTCTGGTGATGTGATACACATGAATTGACTTCCAGGTGTTTATGAACTCTGACTTCTCTTGTCTATCATCCCCAAAAAAGCCGGGTGATAAGTCTTTGGTTGCAGGTGGTATTTGGTGTCCGGACAAAAACCAGTCCGTTCACTTTCATTCCTTACACTTTTTAATTATACATCTCTTATTCATCTCATCCACTAAAACATCGCTGATCACGTGTGTCTTCATGTGCTTTTCTGCCTTTTGCAGATTGGCCACAATCAGGAATTCAATTATGAGGAACCCTAAGCCTTTGAGAGACGTGATTAATCATAAAGAGTTCACTGATATGTTTGGGAAACCTTCAGGGAAACCTGGACCATCAGAAGTTGAGCAATTTAATTTATGAACACTTTTTCAATCTCTATATCATCTTGACATGGTCCCGCTTTTTCCAAAAACCTTTATCTGATGATTATCATTGATCTTAAAAAAAATTGGTTGCTGGGTTTTGGGATTCAAAAAAAAAAAACTAGAGAAGGAACATTTTTGGACATAAAGATGAACTGAAAAACTGTCCCAAGATGAATGGAGTTGATAAATCACATCCGTCAGTCTCAATAAAAAATCAATAAATGTCTCTTTTATCGTCAATTTCCTTGATTCTTTTGGACACTGATTGCTCTCTCTATCTCTCCACATATATATATGTATTTCTTCCATTCTCATTCACTTACATCACACAGTGATCTGGATTTACTGAAACTCAGGTCGATTGCGGCAACTAAATTGTGCGCTTTTTTGCTGTTCTTCCTTCGCTTCTTTGCCCGATCACCTTCACACACACATACACCCACTGCAAATGTTGAACATTCTTTTCAATTCGCAGCCCTCTGCTCACCTCTCGACCATTATTAATTACTCGTGCCTCTTCCTTGAAAAATGCTGAACTGAATGAAATAAAACAATACAGATTTCCCGATGAGGTGGTCATGTCGAGCTCTTTCATGGACGAAATCGCCAAAGCTGTCAAGGTATGCATTTGATAAATACTTCAAGAGAAATAAGTAGATTGTTGAATCCGGTTTCCTGATAACAATATATCGGCCCGTTTTTTCTATTACAGGCCTTGAGTCCATTAGTTCAATGTTTAAACGAAGTAGGTCTCAGCTTCTCCTCTTCCAACCTTTCAATCTTATTCGAGTTACAGTGAAATTGAGATTGAATTCCTGATGATCCTGGCGTGTGTTTTCCTTCGTAGATGATATTGCCCCAATCCGATGATGAAGAAGAAGCCTGACCAAAAAAAAAAAAAAACGCCCTACCGAGAAAACCAAGGAGCCTACATAACTAAATATTCATCTCTCATTCTTGTTACAATATTCAAAGGATCGAGAAAACATACTCAAAAAAACTTCTTTTCTTTATAACAAGCAAGCTGAATAAACATCTCTATCTAATTTTTTTTCTTTCACTGGATGGCAGTTTACAATTCGTTAGCGATTAGATAAATCAAAAGAGGAATGAATCCTGTATTGGATATGCCAGGAAGGCTATTGGCGTAAAATTTGCATGTAACAAACCACCTTCACATTGAATGTTTATTGTCTGTTCCTTGGGAAGGGACTTCCTCCGATGCTCGAACTTATACATGATTGATACTTGTATAAATGGATTCTCCGATCAATTCTTTACTACTTGTACCTTTTTCTCCCGTTCTTCAGAGAGATTTTTTTTTCTTTCATCTTGCACATCTCGCGTGTTCTCTCCCGGTACAATGATCAGACAAACCACACCCGCAAACTCAAGAACGAGTTGTGGACTATTCAAGTCATCAGAGCATTCGAAGCACACTGAATTGTGCCTGGAACGAGAATCAGCCCAACTCTCGTGAATTGGCTTCCTTCTACACACCTGTCTTGATCTTGACCTATTCATTACAAAAACAAAATGCAACATGACAAGTCTGATAATTAGCGTTGTTTTTTGGAATAATCATTTGAATCTATGGAGCTATGTATGGGTGGGGAAATAAGTTATCTATCTATGTGCTTTGAATTAGTAAGATGATGAGAATCATAGTATCATGAAGAGATCATAAAGACGGAGTTTTTCTTGGTGAAGATGGGTCGAGTTACATCTATCCGAACGAACATGCAAGACGAGAGAATGGTTGAGAATTTGTGAACACACAACGCAATATGGACTGCCCCGATTCCCAGCTGGGCCATCCAAACACGGTATCTAGAAGTGTTCCTCATAAGTCAACATGATGAATGGGAAGATCAGCGATGGGTCCAGGGGGTTGGAGACGTACGAAACACGATAAGAAGAGACATCAGGAGAAATCGAATCAAGCCGCCTCGAGTTTGTGGTCCGCCTGTTCGATGATTTTTCCCACGATCGGCAGGGTGGAGGCGTTGGCATAGGACAAATAAGAATCTAGAGAACAACGGAGGAGAAGGTGAGGTTGATCAGTCGGGCGGGGTCAGTATAAGATGTGATTGTCCGCTTAGCAAAAATGGGAGTTAAAGATGGGAACGAGGAGATGTGATTGTTGATCAAAAGGACACTTACTCCAGAACAGGGAAGCGCCGTCTAGAAGGATTAGACGCATGTTGAAGATAGTCAGCTCAAACATATCCCGATTCAGCTCCGACAGGGGTCAACAACAGAAAAAAACAAAATCTAGGTCCCTAACAACTTACTGATCACTAGGAGTCTTAAGTGGCTGGGTACCAGGCCAAAGTTGATCGCTTGTAGAGGGATGAAAACTGTTGTAATCACGCCAAACGAACCAAACGGGGGAGCTTGAGTAAGTCAAGAGAGAAACAGATCATAAGCACTTGTGGGTGATTATGAAAGAAAGCTCACCGATCCAATTCTTGTACAGGGTCGGCCCCCATTTCTCACGCAGCCGTTCTTCGGCCTGCTTAAGATCCTTGCCTTCCCTGCAACAATATATTACCATCGTTATAGGGCATTAGAAAAAAAGAATGGGCATCGATAGTCAGTCGAAAAGGTGCTCGGGCAGGATCGTCGTTTTGAAATGTATGAGTATGTGGGAGGGAAAGACGAACAGATAATTCATCGTCGTGAAGAAAAAGGCGAGCATCGTCGGGGCGGCGATTAGTTGATCGATGCTGAGTTTCAGGAAGGTGGCTACACAATCATCCGACACCAGAGAGATCTGATCAGCACTGTCCGACCATATAGATTAGTATATATATAGCCAAGAGATATCGACCACGCACTCAATCCACGACTTTTCAGTTGGATGAAGTCCAAGGTCTTGAACCAACGCGTCCCGAGTGGGGCGAAGACGAAGCCTGAGAAGAGGAAGGAGGAGGAGGGAATTAAAGAGCTGCAAGTCAGTACGAGCACCGATCCCATTTGTGCTCGGTTGTAAGGAAAGACGAGATAGATTCCATTGGGTTGTTGCGTACCTCCATATCCAGCCAGTCGGGCCGTCCGAGCCCACTTGCATCCAATCGTTCGGATTGATAAGAATTGGACGAAGGATCGAATGAGATGATAATAATACAAGTCCGTCAATGCCCTCTAGTGAACCCTCCCACAATTGAAGATGCAGGGGAACGCGGTCTTGTATTTCTATGGAAAACTCTCGAGACTTGATTCAACGGGGGGTTTTTGTTGACATACAACATACCTCATGCTGTTTTCCTTTCCTCTCGATAGCCTGTTCGTGAAGAAGACGATCCGGTCAGTCCAATCGCTGCTTAACGGTTTAAGAAATCGGATGATAATCTAGATATGTACCTGCTGTGCAATGATATCCCCTCCACCGAACAGAATCACTACGATATTGCCGACCAAAGACAATCATCAGACAAGATGATGATCTGCTATATCCATCCAGTGGGGTACTCACATGACGTGACGATCTGAGTCCTCAATGGTCGGTGTAAGAGGGCATGGTTGTAAGACCGAATGAATGCGGCCATGGATGTTTGTCTGGCTTGTGATTGTTGTTTTGCTTATTCTCTTGAGGATTGATGGTTGTGGAGATGGCGTTGTGTTTGCAGGTAATCTTGAAACCCATGAACTAGTACACCCCACCCACCACCACCACCACCACGTTCAGAAACTTCTCGCACACACTTAAACCCACCCAAAACCCACTTGATACAACACTGCACAATAGAGTGTAAATAATCTGATTGCAAGTGAGTTGGGTCATCTCCCATGTGTTGAGAAGTCAATGAAAAAAAAAGTATTTAAACAGATTCAACACGCCCAACAAGCCGCATACATCCATCCAGTTTGTCTTCCGCCCTCATGGAGGATCACACACTTTTTGATTGTATGGACATACTCACAGCAGAAACACCCATTCCTCTCCAAAAGGCCAGTCGAGGGTTAAGTTAAAAATGCTGTGTGGTGTATACATACTGGGTGTGAAGTTGGCCGAGTTTGGTAGGTTGGGCTGAGTGTTTTGTTCGGTGCGAAACTGAGACTGAGTTTTGACTGAGTTTTGTCCACTGTATTTGCCCTCTTGACCATTCTTGCTCGAACCCCGCCGGCCGCCTTACCCTGGCACAGCAGCACTCCTTCCACTCTCCAACCACTCACAGAAACAAACCAACAGCCGACTTGATCAGAAACCAGGCACTGCAAGAACTAGACGAGAAGAAGAACTGACTTGACTCACTTGAAGGCTGTAAACAGACTGCCGCTTCAGTACAAACGAACCTACACTCAGAGAACCAACGAGCAAATCGGACCATTCCAGCCCTAAATCGATTGATTGTCCATAGAAATAACTCACTCCCCTCGATTCTTGTCACCCCTCAGTCCAACTTTCATTCCTTCCTTCCCAACTTCAAACCCTCACTTCACTTCAAACTCAACTCAACTCAAACCAACCCAACCCAACCCACCCATCACTCCTCAAGCTCAACCACTCACTCCAACAATCAACAACGCCCCCACACATCCCAAGAAGAGACGATGACGATGCCCTCCTCAGCTGCCTCATCTCCATCTCTTCAACCTGGCTTCTCCTCGGGTAACAGCACTTCTCCAACCTCCCCAGAGGATCAACCCGATCCTCTTGCCGATCTCCGTCTCTTGTTGCAATTCGTCGCTCGTGCGTTCTATGAAGTTCGTCACATCCTGCTCTTTGATCAACTGATTCGGAAAGAGGCGTGAGTTTGCGATATTCTATACATAGTTCTCTCTCAAACCTTCCTTCCTCTTATATATCCCCCCCTCCCCAGCCCTGTCACTCTCATTCTTCATGAGAGCTTCTTCATCCCTCTCCTACTCCGATTTCCTTCACTTCTCTTTAGCAAGTAGCTATTCCTTCCTTCCTCCTCGTCTTCAGCCAGATCATCCCATCCACATCTTAGCCATCAAAAAGACCTTGAGTCTATCTAAAAGAAACTCCCAAAGCTTTTGATGAATGAAAACTGAAGGTTTTCATATGTATGTCTGCAAATATGGCGTCATACAGCATGAAAGATGAGGAGCTTTCTGCTCGTCTCGGAATGACACCAAAAGATTTGGCCAAAGCTGCTAATCCGCTCATACGGGACCAACTGGTCTCAACGTAAGCTATTCCACTACTTTTTCTTATTTGTTGCGTTTTGTTCATCTGCTAAATGGTCCCTTTTCTTTAGCTATATGCGTGCTGAGCAGAAGCCCGGAGCATATAAAGCTACTCAGCGAACTTACTACTTCATCGATTACAAACACTGTGTCGATGTGATCAAGTGGCGAATGTGGAAGATGAACAAAGTGCTGGACGACAAACAACGAAACGTTTGTCGAGTTTCCGGTTTCCCCCCCTTTTTTCACCTAATTTGACCACCTTGCTGACTATTCCTCATTTACACAGGTCATTGATGGCCAGGGATATGTATGTCCACGGTGCAAAAAAACTTATTCAACCCTCGATATTTCAGGCCTTTCGATGACAGCCACTAGTTTCCTATGTGAGATCTGCGGAACCCCTCTGAACGATAACGAAAATGATATCGAGGTACAGAAGAACAAGGATCGGATGCAACGTCTTAACTCACAGACGATGACCATCAAAAAGAATCTACAAAAAGCCGACCAGATCGTTATACCACCGTGAGTGGTCCTCATCACCAACTTTCTCTCCACCGTCTCAAGCTCATTCTTAATGATTTCCAACAGTTTTGATATCGCAAAATGGGTTGCTGTGAACGTCCCCTTGGAAAACCAGGTCGATTCATCCGATGGTCTTGCTGTGGCCACTGGTGGCGCCAAGGAAGCGGCTGTCACAGTTCAACTGGCGGAAGAAGGAGATCTAGAAGCCAAGAAGCGACTAAAAGAACAGCAAGCCGAAGCCAAGCGCCAAGCCAATGCTCTACCGGTATGGATTGCGCAGAGTACGGTCAGTGGGGAACTGACAAGAGCAGGAATGAAAGACGGCCCGATGATGTCAAACGTCCAACAATCCAGCGGAGTCTCTTTCCACGACCCTTCCGCCGTCGTCCAATCTCAATCGTCTGAAAACCAGATAGACGACATCGATTACGATGCCTATTTCGCCAAGCTACAGACCCAGACCGGCTCGACGGCCTGCTCCTCAACGGGCTCGAACGACTCGAAGCGCTCGCCAGCCGATAGCAGTGCCGGCTCCCTGCCTTCACCCACCCACTCTCGAGACTCACCTATCGCCGCCGGTCTCAAGCGACCCCGTGCAGCAGACCAGTCTAACTCCTACTACGGATCTCACTCCCACAATGAGCGTGCTAGCAAGAAATCAAGACCCGGAATGCCTCTGATCGGGGCCGATAGGACACCCCCTGAGCACCCACCAAGTGTCGATGTCAGGATGGTGATGGTTGCTGGGAAACCGATACCCTTGCTTGAAGTGACTGACGATCATGAGCAGCTGATGGTTGGTATACGTTTTCTGTTTCATTCATTTCACTTGGCATTTCATATTAACCTTGATGGATTTTTTCTGTTAATCGCCTTTTCAGTCTTCAGAAGAATATACTCAGTATGCCCAGTTGGTTCTTCAAGATGAATAATCTGGAAAACACACAAAAAGTCATGGACATTTCATCTCTGGAAGTTCTTTTCTCCCCTTTCTCCCTTCGTATCTCGCACTCTTGCTCCTTTTGCCCTTTCGATTGTTTTGGTTACTTGAAAAAGAGAGAATAACTAAAAGAAACCAAAAAAAATGGCACTTTGATCTCAAGAAAGTGATGTTTTCTTTTTTCTTTTTCCTTATTATATCATTATTCTTATTTTACGTTTATCCTTTCCACCTCGTTATTGTGGGTGTGTTATGTCTCATATAACCACTACTAACTATCTCCTACTTAGTACTAGTAGTATCTTCCTTCTCTCAAAAACCCACCATTTCCTTTTTTTTGTACAGATTATTAACACTATTCTTACCTCTTTTTTTTCTTCTTCTTCTCTTTCCGCTTTGCTGCTCTTCCCCCTCCTCTTTTTTTTTGTCATGATGAATTCAACTAACCAAAAGAAATAAGAAAAAATCTATTACATAATCAAGAAAAAAAAACAATTCAAAAATCTCAATTATCCAAACAAAAAAAATTGAAAAAAAATGCTTTCTCTTTTTTTTCATTTCACAATAATTGGTTGTTTTTAATTACTGCTGCTTATTGTTGCAGGTTTTCTTTTGGCTTTGATCATTTTTTTTTCTTGTCTGCAAGAAAATCCTTCTGGTTTTGGTTCATTCTCTTGACTGCTCCATTTTTTTTTCCTTTCTGCTCTTTGCATCAAACAAACAAACAAACAAACCAAAAAGTGGGGTCTTTTTTTCTTCTGGATGCACATAAAATAGTGTGTTTTTTTGTGTGCATGGTACATACAAAATACAATCAATCAAGGGGTCTGACAGAATGAAGTTGGTCATGTATGATGCAATGCCACTTTTTGAATGTTCCTTGGATGATGTATTGCATACCAAAGAATGGCTAGATACTGTGGCTTGCTTGTTTTGAGAGTGTGCCCCCCCATAAAAAGAAACATGCTACCAGGACCAACACCCATCCATCCTTCCAGACTTCTTTAATAATCACCTGATTCATTTCCTACTAGTACAATTAACTACTTCACATATACCTCTTAAGATTGTTTGAAATCAACACAAAATTCTAAGGATTTGCCAATGTTGGTATGGTTGCTAAAATGCCCAATCACAATGTTCAACTGCAAGTCTGAGTTTGGACCTGGAAGGATAGTACTTCAGAACTATACTTATCATACTGCCACTGGGCTGTTGGACATTCTTCAACAAAATCTTGCGGCTAAGCCAAGCTTAACAACATCTCTCCTCAGCATCCCCGTAGGATGCTCTCCATAAGAGAGGATCATATACATGATCCCTCAGGTCCAGAAGTAGCAGAAGCGATTTACAGGATCAAAAGTGCTCAAGTAGCTCTCAAACAATTCAAAAATTGATAGAAATGAAGCTATCAGCCTTGCACATCTTTTGGTGCCTATCCCAAATCAAAAGTTGACAGTTGTAGGACTAAATCTTTGTATCAAAAAATATATATATAATAGACCCACTACAAAGGGAAAGACAGCCTTGTGGAGCTTGGGGAAGATCCATGTTGCCATGGACCTGATTTCCAGAAAAATGAAATCTTGCAGTTTCCACAATTGTATTCTAGAGTGTCATGCCATCTTCATGAGGGGATGGAAATTAACTGGGCCAAAATCAAGCCAAGTTTATGAACTTGGGGTCACAAAACTGGAGCGGACCTCCTTGGGCATGAGCTACCAGAATAGCAAAACCACCACCATCAAAACTAGTGAATATTCTGTGCTTACCAAATGGTGGATATAATGTCCAGTTATTTTCCTTTGGTGGGTAGGTGCTGTGAGCTCAGGGAGAAAATGCAGATGGATGAGTTCTTACTTTAGTAGGGTGCTTTTTGGGTGGCTGATGCTTCATACTGAGCCAACTGCATGGCTGATGTTCTGTGTTATTTTTCCACTAGTAAAACTATCAAGAAGAATTTGAAATTTGAACAAAGCACATTGTTAAAGTCTGAGCCCCACCATGCTCATTTCCTGGACCCTCTATACACCTGTAAACCCACAAGACTCTGATTGATGACATCAGTCTTTGCCATGAAATTAAAGTACTCAAACCTCTTTCTTTCCCGCTGCAAAATCATTGTTATCAATGTGCTTGACTCAATATCTCACATAAGCCACTTTTTCTCCTTTGAATCCTTTCCTATTTCCTCAGGGAGATTTTTTGAGCTGTTACTTACTACCACATCATCGCTGGAAATTATCATATTATCCTTTTCCTTGTTTCTCCATTTGATGCAACCTTCTGTCCTCACTTTTCATCCAGACTGGATTACTTCCTCATCTCAATACTCTTGTCTAGCACATACCCTTCCATTATTGATCTATTGTCAACCTGACCAAGTGCTTCCCTTATTTCCACATACTTACCAATCATCATCAGTGTTTTTCTTCTCTCCCTTTTTGGTTTATCAGCCTTGACCACTTTTTCTTCTCAACCATTGATCAGAATATTAACAATATCATTTCTTTTCTCAGTCCAGTTTCTCTTTACCATATCTTGCTCTTTTTGTTCTCTGAATATATTTTCATGACTAACATCGATTTTCCTATATTCAGGGCAGAGCTTCTGTCTCAACTGGAAGTCAAAGCAAAGATTCCCAAGATTCAGAAAACAGATTTATCAAGACCGCAATCTAGCCAGACTTTGAAAACAATGAAGAATAGAAGATCATTCAAATCACAGACTTGTTCCACTTCAAAATATCAACGATGGACTTACCCTCCACTCCATACCCCTGCTTAAGTTTTTCTAGAATACCCGAACCAACAGTGGGCCAATTACACTAACTGTAGTGTTAGTGTAGCAGAATTCCACCACATCTGCACTAACACTACGCGCATAGGCCCCAAAAAAGGGCCAACTACGCTATGCTATCACGCTGGTTAGCGGTTTTCTGGCCCTGTAGTGCATCGTAGCGTAGCAAAAATCTTCTAACACTACAATTTTTTGGTACAAAAAAAGTGCTGTTATGCTGCACTTTTTGGGCCAAAAGCGTAGCAACGGTGGGCCGCTACGCTACGCTGTAGTGCCTCTAACAGGTGGCTTGTTTCTGGGTAGTGTTAGCGCACCGCTACAGCACTTTTAGCAGCAAAAAAGTAAAAAAAAACCGCTAAAAACCGCTGTAGCGTGGCGTAGCGGGCACTTTTTTGTGCCCTGAGCGCTTAGTGTTAGCAAATTTCCAACTTTCTGCGCTAATGTCATGCTAACAGCTAATGCACTCTTGTGCCCTTTGCACGTAGCATTGTGGAAAGTAAGGTGCGCCCTCGGAGATTTCTTGCACCTCTCTGCTCCACAACACGTCCTACTCCGGTTTGTTGTCCGGGGTAACTTGCTTGATGTTCTTGTAGGTAGGTAAAATAACTATTCTTTTTATTGGTTTTGGTAGGTAATACTCTAACTCTCTATATCTAACAATTCTTTAGGCTAATACACAATTCACTCCTAAGTCAATCTGTTTTTCTCCTGATATGTTCTGAGTCATAAGTCCCCCCCTCTTTTCCCCTTCTCCTCCGAACTCCACTCTTGCCAGCTGTCCCACGCACAAGTTTCCTCCTGCTTCTCACGCAGTCCTCCGCTGTCACTCCCTTGCACTCCGCTCGTCACCCCTCCAACGCCTGCCAGTCAGTGTACTCCTCCGGCCGCCCTTGGATAGGTCTCCCACCGTCGCTTCCGCCTCTGGGCCGCTCCAAACCCCTCTTCCGCCTCTCGGTGCTCCCGCTCCCTTGTAGCCCCTCCGCAGCATACACTAAACCCCAGTCTGCAGTTGGCTGTGAACCCCGAAGTCCGCCAGTGCCCAGATTCCCCGCAGCAAGCTTTTCAGAACCTTGCGCATTCGGCCTGCTTTTCCCCGCTATCCCGCGCCTCAGAAAGCTTAGAATTTCTGCTAACATGCCGCCGCTTTCCTCAGCTTGAATGTGTAGCGTCAGCTCCGCATGCTTTCCGCATCAGCCGCAAGCATTCCGCATACGCCCAAACAATTTGGCCAAAGCTTTGGCCGTGGCGCGCTCTCACCACCACAGCATTAGCGCAGAAATGTGGATTTTTTCCTAACACTACACTACAAAGTAGCACATTTTTGCTGCGCTACACCACACTAAGGCTACGGTTAGCGTAGCTGGCCCACCATTGAGCGTAGTGTAGCGTAGCAGCCCCTTGCTGCCCAAACAAACCAGAACTTGATCCTATCCTGTTACAAAGATACAATTGACAAGAATTAAAGGTGTACAGATTTGTTCAATTTTCCTCTGTGGAGTCAAAATATCCACCAGGTTTCTTTCAGGAATATTGAAGTGCTCCCAAGGGTTGTTGGTAGAAAGCAAATCAGAACTGTTCAGTTTTAAATCTTTGGTACTTGAGTTCCTCTAAATGTCAGCCTTCAAGGTAGTTATACATCAGTCTTCCCAGCTACATTTTTTTATTTACTTGTGATATAAGACACACCATATACCTGCTTTACTTAGAAAATGAGTGTAAGATCAGATTTTTTTGTCAGGGTTCAGGATCCAAGGGGGTGGCCACAGGTTTGGTCAGGCTAGGGGTAAAAAATTGACCCAACCCAGATTGAACCTGAAGGTTCAACAGGATGGGTATGGGAAAGCAAAAGTGCATATTGGTTGTGTGACTTGAATGATACATGTGTCAAGTTGGCAGTTTTTTCTTGATACTTTCCCTCTCTACAATAAAACTTAGACAGCACACCAAGTAAATTTTTTTGTCCAATAACAAAGATGGAGTGTTTGGTTTTTTTCTTCCTTCCAACAATTAGTGCATACACACTGTCACTACTAACATTTAATTACACAACAGTTACCCAACCAAAGCTCTTCAAACTTGGGCAGGTTTTGGTCCACATTTTTCCAATTGAGCCTTGCCCCACCGCAACAATTTGCCAGGGAGGGTCTGAGCACTCTTTGCTGACCCGAGCCAACGCTGCCACAGATACGGTATCTGCCCGTATCTGCCATGTATCACTATGTATCTGAGCCCCAATAAAAAAAACTATCTGACCAATCTGCTTTTATTTGCAAGGAGATTCAACAAATTTGGTTTTTGGCCATGCAGCTTTGCAGAATTCTCCATGATACACACAGCGTATCGTATCTGTGGCAGCGTTGCCCGAGCCCAGCACATTTGGATGTTGGAGTAAATGATTTTCTGGTTTATTTTTTCCTTTTTCTTCCACTCTGTTTTCTGCTTCCAGCCTGTTTCATCTCATGTTGCAGTCTGTGACACCCAGTACGTGGTCTACCTAGGACAGTCTGTGTGTTTGTGGAGGGTCCCTTTTCCTCATCCTTCCACCCACTCACTTTATGTCCTAGGTAAGTCAAATCTTGTTTTTCTTTCTCTTCATTTTCTCCTTTTTTCTCTCTTTCAGTGATGCAATGGATCCTTCCACTCACTCATTTTCTGTCCTAGATTTATTTCAACATTGGATCCTGAGTCAGGTTTTGTTTAGATATCTCCAGTGCATCCTGCCAGATGATGCTCTGCAGTTGGGATTCCTGCAACTATCAGCACTTCATGTTTATTTCAATTCCTGGAAGTGGAGATATCCATGGTATTCAGTATCTTTACAGGTGATTGAGTTTACATAATCTCTCTTTCTGATTGAAGGTACATACATGTAGCAGTCATAGAGAAGCCAAGTCCCTTTTTCTTGTATGATCAATCAAACAATCAATGCATGTTGATTGATTAGGAAAAGCCTCCCTTGACAGCTGATAGGTCTGCTGATCATTCATGAGTACATAATTATCTCTGAGACTGCATGATGTGATGTGAAAACTGATAAGATAGACTGAGTCAGAACATGAGATGGTGGAAAGGATGGTTAGCACTGCTTAAGTATTGATGACAATATGTGAAACATGACAAAAACAAGAGAAAGAAAGATGATAAGTGAAAGAAAGAAAAAGACAACTGAGCTAGACCTGGGTCAGAAGATGAGATGGTGGAAAGGATGAAGAAAGAGAATCCTCCCACAAGCTCAGCTCTGGCCCAGGTGTACTACAACATCTGTGATATGTATGTGACAGGTATGTAGCACATAAACTCAAAAGAGAGAGTGCAATGAAGTGAACTGCTCAACAAAAACTTTTGCAGGAGGAAAGCGTTAACAAAACCCTCCATGAAGTCACAGGGAATTGAGCCAGTGTGTTGGGTTTCAGTCAAAGCTGGCAGAAGCCTGTCTGATGTTTGCAAAGGAGCTGAAACACCCCAATCCGCTGGAGACGCTCTAAAAGTGGTTTTGTTGGAATGCTGAGCGAGTCGTAATTTGTATTGCATAGCCAAACCTAGCCGCAGTCGGTTTTGCCTTTTCGCACCCACAAGTCAAGCCTCGACGGGTCAGTCTGGAGCAAGTATAAGTAGTGCAACCTTCTCGCCCTCGCATATTTCCCCTCATGGAACCGCGGTCACGATTCTTGAGACTCATGAAGTTGAGGGAGTTGCTGACTTTCGACCGATTGGGAGTTGCCCCGCATCAGCGCTAAATGGGCTTCTTGCTATGCCATGTTCTCATTACGGACACCCTCAGTCGACGGTTACGCCTAGAACAAACGGCCCCTCCGCTCACGCCTTTCGATCTTAAAGTCTTGGTTTCCTTGACTTTGGTTTCGAGTGAGTCGGACTTGGTCGGGTTATATTCCTTGGCTCGTCATATTTCCGTTTTTTTGGATCGGTTCCTATGGTTCCATGAAAGGTCGAGCAAAACCATAACCCTAACATTCTTCTTCATCTAACATCTAGCTCTTTTTTTAATCTTACCTTTGTCATTTCGTAAACAAGCTGCTTTCTCCAATTCGTAAATGTACTCCTATTCCTCACTGCTTGCTGAAATAAATTATACGTAGCGAGCCACCTTGACCAATACGCAGTCTGCATCCACATCTCATCTGAAGACCTGGATGGCTTGTCCCCTGATAATGTTCCCAGAGTTCCCTATGATCAGGGTTGACAACATTGAATTTCGTCTACTTTCATGAAGAAGTTGCACATGACTGAGTTCCACCAAAGATGAAAAAATGAAGAGGAAAACGATCATTTAGAAGTAGGAGGGGGAGACGGTCTCGAAGGTCGGAATCTCCTTTCCGAGAAAACCTTGCCAAGCTTGCAAAGGAAAATGAATGCGGTGTTACCATTACACATTCGACGACTTTGAAGAGACGCCCTGCCCGGATGGGCGAGCTGGGAAGACCTATCATGAGGTGGGGTGAACAATGAGACTGTGTATCGAAAGTGGGTGATCACTGCAGATGAGTTGAGGTGTTTCGTCTGAGATGTGGGCTGGGTTTTTGAGGGTTGCGAAACAGAGCTTCAGGCCTTCTCCCATCAAGAAATCCAGCAACAACACATTACGAACGCGATCCGACAATGATCATTCGGAAGCCAGCCAAACTACAGACTCGAACCGCTCATCAACACCAGCCGTTCTCCAGCTTATCAGTTCTTCATCGACCTTCGACGAATTCTGATCAGCAAACGAGGACTGGGAGTAGTACCGATCCTCAACAGGGAAATCAGACCGAATGGAAATCCAGCTTTGATTGGGAGGCTGAGCTTCGTCGTCGACAGCGTGTTGCAAAGGAGCGAGGTCGTAAGGTGCGTGGTCAATTAGACTGGAATCACGCTCAACGAGCTGCTTGGGAAAAATCATATTCCCTTTGGATGGCACATTTAAGCTTACAATTGGATTCTGCTCTTTCTCGAACAGGCCTCAAAGTTTGTCGATCAGATGAAGGTACTAGTCCGAGCAGGTGCAGATTATCCCTTATCGCTTGTTGGAAAACAGGTCTACTGACCAGTATCATCTTCGGGCACAGGAAACGGTGGTGATGGTGGAGTAGCGTTCCACCGGGAGAAATTTGTAGCGAGAGGAGGACCATCTGGTATGCCGATAATTCGACTATAAAAACAAACCCACTGGCGCTTAAGCTGACCCATTGCCTTTCATGTGTGCAGGTGGGAATGGCGGGCTAGGCGGATCGGTGTATCTTAGACCATCTGCCGAGGTCCAATCGTTGAACAGAATCCCAAGGATCTTAAAGGCGGCATCTGGGACTAATGGGGGCGGCCAATGGATGAATGGACCTGCGGGAAAAGATTTGATTGTCGATGTGCCGATCGGAACCGTCATTCGAGAGATTCGGTCGAGCCAAATCTCAGCCCAAAGAGAATCGGCTCTCGGATTCAATCTCGGTCATCGGCCTCCCAAGGCTAGTGATTTGGTCGGAGAGGATATCGAAGTAGCAAAAGCAAGGCGATCAAAATTATTCGTACACTGTTTGCAAAAGTTCCGCATCTATACAGTTCTTATAAAGTTCTTTTTCTTGGCTAGCAGAACAAAGACGACGATTCTAATGAATGACTGCTCTACTTATCCTTATGTCCTTGTGTTTGCAAATAGATCCAGAATCCGAGGACTCCAATCAAACCAATGAAGCCTTAAAGAATCTCGAAATCGATCTGCTTCAAGAGCAATGGGCGACCGAGAGAGCGCGTTCGCAATCGGAACCATTCCAGATGGATTGCGCGAAGTTCCACGAGGATCATCGTAGCCGGACGAACATCGAACATCCCTCTACTCAAGTCAATCGTTCGATCAAAGCAGAGCAAGACTTTTTCCTGATCGCTAAAGGGGGCGAGGGCGGACTAGGAAACTCGAACTTTAGTGGCAATCAAACTACCTTGCCCAGATTTGCCACCAGAGGTAAAAAGGGCGAGGTGATTGAGCTCGAATTGGAGCTCAAGACGCTGGCCGATATCGGGTTGGTTGGGTTCCCAAACTCGGGAAAGAGGTATGATCTCTTACTGGATGATGAATGATTAATCAGAGAATACAGATTGTTCAACTGAGTCATCCCCCCCCCCCCCCTTTTTAATATGCACTCTGACAGCACATTGATTCACACCTTAACGAACTCCCGAGCAGAGATCGCACCATATCCATTCACCACGCTGAATCCGCAGATAGGAACGCTAATAATCTTTAACGACGGATCATGGGATCTAGACGAGCCGACGGATGCGATCAACCATTCACCATCACACCGGGAATATCTTGATGCCAACAGTGCCACTGATCTGATTCGAGACCGTTCGAATCGCCAACGGTCTTCATCTCACTCGCCCCGAAAATGCGAAAGTATCAGACTGACGATCGCCGACTGTCCAGGATTGCTTCCCAAGGCTTCCGAGAACGTCGGCCTAGGCCATGCGTTCTTAAGACATATCGAACGCTCAAGGATGCTCGTGGTAGTGGTTGATTTGATGGCTGGCTTACCGACCGCAACAACAGCAACAACATCGTCATCCTCGTCCTCGTTGACTAATCAAAGACTGATTGAGGATGAGAATCCCCAAAGGTGTTGCCAAGACGTCGAAACCTTATTCAAAGAATTGGAATCATATCAACCCGGGTTAAGTGGACGAGTAGGGATCTTAATCGCCAACAAGGCCGACCTCTCCTCTACCGACCCAAGGCTTCAAGAAATCGCGCAAGTGAGGTTACAAGCCCTGCAAGACTACGTTCATGCATTGTCCTCCTTCCAGGTCCAACAGTCTATCCGAAATCTCGGCACTCCGCACATCTCCGTCTTGCCTCTCTCGGCTAAGTTTAGACTCAATGTTAGGAAATTGGTGCTTGTGATTAAAGAGTTCTTTGAGGCGTCTAAAATTTAATCCGCCCCTTACTTTTTTTTTCTTTATCATTAATTATGTTATCTTCATACAACATATCTCATAAATGATCAAGAAACAACAACCTGTCCCCAACGGCTCTCAATAATGAGTGTCTGACCAATGATGACTCCAAGCACAGATAATGCCCAGGTTGAGCGACATATTGATGTTGGGATGGGCGTACAGCTATGCTGCGGTCTTCTCTTGTCAGCCATTGATTGTGGCAGTCATTGAGGCTGATGTCTCTTGAACATGTCGAGACTTCCTTTCCCCTGTAATGGGGAGGTCTGTGAGGAAGGTTTCAACAACCATGCAACGCTTCCCCCCCTTTTTTTCCCCATTGATTCAATGATTGATGTCATAGACTTCAGTCTGTTTACCAGACATGAGTCCAGGACAGTCTATCCGGACACGCATGAAACAGAGGTTCGAATCTCAGACAAGAGCTTGCAGAGAGGATTTCTGATTTGGGTTGTTTGGAATGGAAACTTTATCCTGCTGAGTTGATATTGACAAGGGTCTAGATTGGCTGGCCTGTCCTGTTTCTTATTTGTAAGCTTTATAGTACTGCTGAGTTGTTTTGGTAGCGTGTCCAGGTTTGAGCTGGTTTATATGACTCCATCCTAATTAGATGAAACACATACACCACCTGCCAATTATATTAGGACTTAGGGTGGTGACTTGGTTCTAACTCTATAAACTGTTGTCATTTTGAGAATCTTTGACAGAGAGAGAATTTTGTTAGTTTCTGGTACAACTGGTCTGTTTAGATTTGAGATACATGACAAGACTTGTGTCTAATGAGGGCCTGTAATGTGTCATATTAGGACATCAAAATCCAATTGCTCCAATATTATATCTTTCTCAGATTTTCTAATCTCATCATCAAAAAAGTGAGCATTTCCAAGGGCCAGTTTCTGGCCTAAGACCTGAAGAACCTCAACACCTGCTCTGGTAATTATGTACTTCTTTTTTGAATTTTGGTCTATGTAGAAGCCAGAAATTAAGGTGATAAATATTTGTGATTGAATGTCATGGTGTACAGGCCCTTATTATGGTTAAAGTATGTAGCTCTTGCAGGTCATCATCAAACCAGGTCAGATTGTGATTTCCTTGACAGTACACCTGCTACTGGACAGAAATCTTTTGGCCAGTTTGAGTTGGGCCAGGTTGGATTGATTCAGGCTCCCAATGGGTTGCTCAATACAAAAAACTCTAAAATATGTATCTTGTTTGTGATGTATTTATGGTGTTGCAAGCCCGTCTGGGCACACACCAAAGTTTGATCAAAAAAAGGCCAAGCGCGCTGGGCCAATCCCAAAGCCCGCTTGGCCGATCCCAAAGCGTGTGTGGCACCATCCCAACCCCCGCTTGGCACATGCTAAAGTTGGCGGGGGTCGGGACAAAGCCTCGCTTGGCCGAAATCAAGCGAGGGTGCCACGCCCGCCAACATGCCGGCCCCCGAGAAGGCCATCTGCTGAGTCGGGGTCCAGTGCCGGGCTGGTGCACAGGCTACCAATCGTGGCACCCGCCAACATGCCGGCCCCCGAGAAGGCCATCTGCTGAGTCGGGGTCCAGTGCCGGGCTGGTGCACAGGCTACCAATCGGCCCAAGGCTTGAAATCGGCCCAGCGGGACTTGGCTATGTGCCAAGTCCTGCCCCCCGCCCATCCTGTCCGATCAAGCCCTCTGGGCACAATCTAAACCCCTGGTGGCACTCGGCCACGCGGGACTTGAGATTGTGCCCAGACGGGCTTGCAAGACCATATGTCAAACTCAAATTGGTTGGATGAACCCTTCTTTTTGGGGTTTGGGGATTTCCTTCTGTTTGGTGAGGCAAGTTGTACACCAGGACACCACACTAACCAAAAATTTCATGGATTATTGAAACTGACAATGCTTTGGTGACACCCAACACAAGATGATGCTATTTCTGTCTGATGGTTACATAAGAATTAAAGAGTGCAGTTCCTCAAACAAATCCTGTATGGTACATAGTGTTTGTTTGAAGTTGGCCATGAATCACAAACTGTAATACAAGGAATCTTGTTTTGAAAGATGTATGAATTTTAAGGTTTGGCTGGGATTCCAGAAGATTACAAACCTCTGGCACATGGCTGGCCCTGTTTTACAAATGTTGATGACTACAAACCATAGATATGAATCTTTCTTTCTTTCTTTTTTTTGGTGAAAGCTTATTGATCATAGTGTAGCTTAGTAAGCATGTGTTTGGATGGTGATGATTAAATGGGGTTGGTGATGATTAAATCTGGGGGAGATCCAGATCGAGTGAAGATGGTAAATAAATAGGCTCCTTTGATTTGCTTTGATTTGATCGTGTTTCAGATTTCATAGGATTTCATTCGATGGTCAAGGGTTTTCCTTCCGAGTGGTCCCAATGAATTAATTAGCACGGGCAGCATACACTCACACAGCACACTCCTTCCTTCCTTCCGTCTTCAATCACATGCACATGATAGTCTGTGATACTCCGACTGTCACAGCTTGGTTCTATCTTCCTTCCTTCCTTCCAACCAAATCAAAACCCCCAAAATCCCACTTTACTTAAACTGTTTACCTAATTTATTAATTATCAAATAAAACAACCACATCCAACTCTCGTTTACCTCATCAACCCATCAAAAACCAAATCAAACATCCTTCAGGGGGTAAATAACTCAGTCCCACTCCTCACCCTTCCTATTTTAATCACCAACTCACTCACTTCGATCCATCAGACCAACTTCATCAGCAGCAGAATCATCAGTTCCACAGAAGCAGTATGACAGCCGATATCAAGAAACAACCGCCAAGGATCTTCTTGAGCGAAGACCTCAACAAGCACAACTCACCCACCGACTGCTGGGTATCCTACAAGGGAAAGGTCTACAACATCTCGTCAGTCATCCCTCCCTCTCACTCTCTATTTATACTCATTCTCACTCATCCACTTTTCTTCTCTCCAACAGATCCTTCTTGGCCGATCATCCTGGTGGAGACGAACTACTGCTTCAGTATGCCGGAAGGGTGAGCTATCTCTCCTTGCGCTTCTTCACTCAGCTATACCTAATCTCTATTTATCACCTCCAGGATCTTGGTGAGGCAATGGACAACCCAGACGAACACACTCATTCGAAATCGGCCTACGAGATGTTGGAAGAGTTCCAGATCGGAATCATCGGCACCCCCGAGACGATCCTGAACCCGAACCTGATCATCGACGATGACTTCAAGCCCACCACCACCGACATCACCAAGGATCACCTCCGAAACCAGTTCCTAGACCTCTCCAAGCCACTGATCCCACAGATGTGGAACTGCCAGTTCTCGCGTGCCTTCTACCTCCAACAGGTCCACCAACCTCGCCATCTCTCCCGGCCTGCCAGACTCTTTGGCCCCTGGTACCTCGAAATGTTCACCCGAACCTCCTGGTATGTCGTCCCGCTCATCTGGCTGCCTATCGCCTTCGCACTCTTCCATCGCGCACTCCAGCAACAACTCGACCAAGGTAATTCGACCCCCATCGCCTGGTCGAAGAACATCGTCTGCTTCCTCTTCGGTAACCTCGTCTGGACCTTCCTCGAGTACATCCTCCATCGTTTCTTGTTCCACATCGACGACGTCCTGCCCGACCGACCCTTTTTCCTACTCTTACACTTCTTACTACATGGTGTCCATCATTATCTTCCGTAAGCAACTCCTCCCACTCTACCTCCCTTGCAGACTGATCACTAACTCCCTCCTCATGTTTTTATCCCACAGAATGGACCGTCTGCGACTGGTCATGCCCCCGATCCTATTTGCCACCCTTTCCCATCCATTTACTCGGCTCGCCTACTTCCTGTTCCCAGTACCTTATGCAAACGCCGTCATCTCGGGTGCATTCACCTTCTATGTACTCTATGACTGCACTCATTACGCCTTACATCACACCCAATTGCCGAAATACGTTAAAGAGATGAAGATCTATCACATGGCGTAAGTTGTTCTTATGTTTTTATGCACAAGACCCCAACACTAACCCTGCCTGTCTGTCCACTTCCAATAGCCATCACTTCAAAGATGCCGATTTAGGGTTTGGTGTTACGAGCAAGATCTGGGATTACGCTTTTGGTACCGTCTTACCAACTCGTTAATGGAAGCAGCTAAGATTCTTACCCCGCAGACAGTGAGAGAGGAAAACAAACGTTTTTCTCCTTATTCTTTTTTTCTCATAGAGCTTTTCTATTTGATTGTCTTCTTTCTTTTTCATCCCTCTCTTCCTCATTCCCCACTCCACTTGCTATCCTCTTGACAAGATCTTATTTTTTTTTTATTCTCAAATTCCTAACTCCCTTTGATTTACTTATTCATACACATACATACTTGATTCACAAACACAAATCATCATTTTTTTCCCTCCCCTTTTTCTTTTTCCCTTCACCAACACAAAGTATCTCCCCCAATCAACAGCATCCCCACTTGATCCTTTTTCTCACTGTTTTCCTCTCTCTCATTCCAAACAGTCTTTATGCTTCTGTGTTAATCTTTAACTTTCTCAATTCAGTCCATGCTACTCCATTACTTTCAAGTCCACTTATTTTTTTTTCTTTATCATCTTATCATCATCTATTAGGTACATGCAGATTATGGATATTATTTTATTAGAGCTATATTTATAATACATATATATACATATTAATGCTTTCTTATGTCTCTTTTGTTGAACTTGAACAGTCAGGTTTTTTTCTTTTTCACTTGAACTGCTTGTCATCATAATTATCATTTTCTTTTTTTTCTCCCCTATGTGTAGTGCTTTCCTTCTCTTTATTTTTCTCAAGTGTTTAGTTTTAGTTTTAGTTACAGATTTATCAATCAAAGGGGCTTTTCTTTCTTTTCTTTTCTTTTCTTTTCTGATTATCTATGAGTCTGAAAGTGGAAATGTAATCTTCACAACTCCTCTCACCCTCCTTTCCTGGACCCTCATCATTATAAAACAATGGGAAAAAACAATAACAACAACAGATTCTAGCAAAAAATTCACATGACAAAAAAAACTAAATTGCAGGCTTGCTTGTTTCACTTTTTTCTTTTTGATTGCTTGGGCCTGTCGGTCTGTAATAGCTAAGGTGTTGTTTGGTTGGGAATGCACACATGATGGGTGATTAATACATGTTTGATCAAGTGTTTGCTAGAATAAGAGCATCTCCAACGCAGGTGGTAAATCGGGGTTGTAAGCCCCGTTTACCACCCCAATTCCCAAAACACCCCGCCACCGCGGGTGGTATACGGGGTGGTAAGCTACATTTTCGGTCCAAAAAATGTACCGAGGTGGTGGATCCCTGATACCGCTGTGGGATCCGTGATATCCACCCTCCATCTTGTGAAACCCCCATAATCGCAACCGGTTCACATACAAACATCCCTCACTCGACCTCGCTGATCCAATCTCAGTGCAGGTTTTACCACTCTGCGGTGGCGCACCTGCTTGATTCCAGGTGGCAACTCTGGAATGCGGGTGGTAAATCCTTTGTTTACCACTCTGGATTTACCACCCGCGGTGGAGATGCTCTAAGTTTCCAAACCACAAGGTTGGTGCCTCTTAATTGTTGGAAGTTTTGATGTGGCTCCACAAAAAAAGAAGAGGATTCAATCAGGTTTTAGCTTCTGTGATTTTCCACTGTGAGGCTGGTTATCTACACCAGTCCAAGATTGCAGGACTTTCCGTTGCGGTTGAGAATGTGTTTTGGACCGCTCTCAGTTCTAGATGAACACTCTAATCAAAACTACAACCAGCTCACATGAGCATCATCTCAACAAGGGCTCTGAAAAGTTTTTTTTGCTAAAAATTAAGACCTTAGAGGGGTATATCAAATCCTGTGAGGGTTGTAAATGTCCACAAGAAGTCACGCATGATTACCTGGTAGCTTTTCTTTAGAAGTTCCACTTGCATGAAAGGCTGATTTTTTTTTTATTCTCCTCCTGCGTTGGTTTTTTTTTTTTTGGGAAAGCAAGTTGTTCTGCAGTTACAAAACCAACTTGGAATGCACAAAACAGAACTTGGTTGTGAGTCTGAAATGGCAACCCGATTTGTCTAGTTCTTGTAAACTCCCTCCTCGAGGTACATTTGGGAGATGCCTTAGCCAGCTTTGCAACAAAAAAAAAGGGGGAGGCTGTGGGGAATTCTATGTAATATTTGAAGAAACGGTTGCTGAAAGAGTGGCTGCCAAAGCATCGAAAAGAGTACAGGTGTGCCACAGAAATGGGCAGAGAACACAATGGTGAAACAAATGTGAGATAAACGGAAGAAAGGAAAAATTTTGGCCGGGTGGAAAGAGCTGGGGACTGGGAGGGGCGGAGGAAGATCAGTGACCGATGAGCATTGATGGTGGTCGTAAGATGAAGGAAAAGTGGACATACACCTCGGATTGCTCAAGTCGATCCGTTTTCTTAGCAGGAGTGCAAAGGCTCTAATTGTTAGCACAATCGGCGGAGGTGTGGTACGCTCCGTCATGGTAGCTATTGCCTGATTGTCCGCAGGCCATCAGGTCGGGCCCGCCGGCCCCACTGGAGCAATGAACCGAACTCAGGACGTTCACGTTTGCCAGAAGCGACTGCTGGTCGGCGCAACTGTTCTTGTCGCCGTCCCCGCTCTTCGGTGAGCCACCCAACAAGCCGCCGACTATTGGAAGACTGTCCAAGCCTCTTCGCAGGAAGAACTCCGCAGAGACAGAGCTGAGCAGGGCGATTGGAAGGGCAATGACGAGGCTGCAACGCATGGTTGAAAGGTGTGGAAAAAGGGACCTGGACGGTGTGAGTGTGTTGGATTGTGTTCGAGACGAAAGGGCTGGTAGAAATAAAAGGCTGATG